CGCCTTGGAAAAGATGGCTATATCAAGCAAATTGCTGGATATCACACAGATGACAACGACACACGAGTTCGACAAGTCTCATGGGCAATCTTTGAAGTATCTTGGGGAAAGACAAAGGATCGAGATACAGATGAGATTGTTGACTTGACAAGAGCTAGGATGAGAATGACACGTGTGTGCGTTTATCACGTCGGACAGAAGTATGCATCAGACTCTGCTGGGATTGTTGGTGAGTGCTTAGCTGTTATGGCTTTTGAGTGTGCCAGATATCAAGTTGACTTCATCGCAGGTGATGGAAACAAGGCATGCTATTACAGCACACCAAAATCTCCAGGTGTCCCTACATATCAACACAGCCTTATCCAATTCTGGATTAACAGAATGGTAGGTGTTGCAACACAAGCCATGCGCAAGAATTTTGATCCAACTTGCCCTCCAATCAGGGCCAAGCATTTCATTTCTTGCAGTTATCGTGACTTGGATTTTCTTGCAACGCACTTGGATGGCATTACAACAGCAACATACACCGACGAGCTCATGAACAAGACAAATGGTAAAGGGGATTGTTGTATGTTAACAGTTGTTGAGTGGGGTCATTCACGTTTGATGTGTGAGGAACACCCAGAAGACTTTGAGGATGAAGATCACATGAACTATGTGGGTGAATTTTACTTCAAGGTAAATGGAACTTGCTTACATGGTGATCACAACATCTTCATGGTTGCTCCAAATGATCGCGATGCTCATAATCCAATTCTTATCCATCTTGATCCTTCTGATATGTCATGAAATGAACGACATCATTACAAACAGGCCTACAAGAAGAAGCAGTATGCTGATTCAAGAAAGGAAAGACAGAAGGAGAAAAAGAGAAAGGCATATGAAGATCAAGCATCGACGTATCAGGGCAACACAGAGTGGGGTGGATCCTCATCTTCAGCGTCCAGACCATGGAGATCAAGTGAGTGGCGATGAGTGAGTGTACACTTCTTTAATTGAAGATAACACAGCATGAGAAGCCGTGTACAGTTTTTCTGTGCGTTTAACTTATTTCACACAGATGGCATATACTCTTTTAGATAGAGATAATGCCACAAGTGTCTGAACTTCAATTTAATGTAAAATAGAGACTCTTGTAAATAGAGATACTATATACATTTATCTCCATGAATCATCCGGCGAGCAAACCACTCCGAATGGAGCGAACTTCAAAAATTTACCAACTTCGATTTCAGTCCATTGTTTGCTTGAATGAGCAACTTTGGAGATCCGCTATTTCCGTTTATTTCGTGATTTGGTCAATTGTTTTCGTATGACCTGAATTTCTGAATCTTGCGAACCCGAACTTTTCAATTCGAACTTTCACCGGTAGAGCGAGGCATTTTGCCTGTGGAGAGACCGTGCGCGAAGCACCATTGGTCGCTACTGGAAAAATTAGCGAATACGCTGTTCTTTTTCGACATGTCCTTAGGACATTCGCTGCTTTCACGTGTTTTTCAATTCGAAGCCACTGCGTAACTCCGGTTTCTTTTGCTATTTGCCATTGTGTAGAGAAGTCAGGAAGATACTCTTAATACCAATTGGGTACGGCAAGGCGTAGGGCTCTACTCATTGCTTTTGAATTTGTGCCTGTGTTTTTGTTTCGACCTAATACCTACATAGGTACATGCATGAGTATTGAGCACATTTATATGCGCCTTCAAGGTTCAAGAAAGAGGTATATAGAGTAACCCTGTAGACAAGCACTGACCGGCAACAGGCTGAGAGTAAAAGAGTGCTGTCATTGGGGAAGACGCCTTAGCTGATCTTGAAGTAGACGCTAGGGCCCCTCTTCAGCCCTCCCCCCATGCCCCCCACCAACCTTAGGAAATTTATGTGGGGCAATGTTTAAGGCACAATACAAGACAGACGACACCAGACACAAGAACAAGAAACAAGAAGGAAGAACAACAACGAGAACAACAATAACAAGGCAGAAAGGAAAAGAAGCGAAACGAAACGGATCAAAGCCAGAACGATGTTCTTCCTGTGTTCTTTGGGGGGGACGCGCTGCGCCCTCCCCCCCATGCCCCCCACCAGCCTTAGGAAATTTATGTGGGGTAATGTTTAAGGCACAATACAAGACAGACGACACCAGACACAAGAACAAGAAAGAAGAAGGAAGAACAACAACGAGAACAACAATAACAAGGCACAAAGGAAAAGAAGCGAAACGAAACGGATCAAAGCCAGAACGCTGTTCTTCCTGTGTTCTTTGGGGGGGAGGCGCTGCGTGCCCCCCACCAGCCTTAAGAAATTTATGTGGGGCAATGTTTAAGGCACAATACAAGACAGACGACACCAGACACAAGAACAAGAAGAAGAAGGAAGAACGACAACGAGAACAACAATAACAAGGCACAAAGGAAAAGAAGCGAATCGAAACGGATCAAAGCCAGAACGCTGTTCTTCCTGTGTTCTTTGGGGGGGAGGCGCTGCGCCCTCCCCCCCATGCCCCCCACCAGCCTTAAGAAATTTATGTGGGGCAATGTTTAAGGCACAATACAAGACAGACGACACCAGACACAAGAACAAGAAGAAGAAGGAAGAACAACAACGAGAACAACAATAACAAGGCACAAAGGAAAAGAAGCGAATCGAAACGGATCAAAGCCAGAACGCTGTTCTTCCTGTGTTCTTTGGGGGGGAGGCGCTGCGCCCTCCCCCCCATGCCCCCCACCAGCCTTAAGAAATTTATGTGGGGCAATGTTTAAGGCACAATACAAGACAGACGACACCAGACACAAGAACAAGAAGAAGAAGGAAGAACAACAACGAGAACAACAATAACAAGGCACAAAGGAAAAGAAGCGAAACGAAACGGATCAAAGCCAGAACGCTGTTCTTCCTGTGTTCTTTGGGGGGGAGGCGCTGCGCCCTCCCCCCCATGCCCCCCACCAGCCTTAGGAAATTTATGTGGGGTAATGTTTAAGGCACAATACAAGACAGACGACACCAGGCACAAGAACAAGAAGAAGAAGGAAGAACAACAACGAGAACAACAATAACAAGGCACAAAGGAAAAGAAGCGAAACGAAACGGATCAAAGCCAGAACGCTGTTCTTCCTGTGTTCTTTGGGGGGGAGGCGCTGCGCCCTCCCCCCCAATGCCCCCCACCAGCCTTAAGAAATTTATGTGGGGCAATGTTTAAGGCACAATACAAGACAAACGACACCAGACACAAGAACAAGAAGAAGAAGGAAGAACAACAACGAGAACAACAATAACAAGGCACAAAGGAAAAGAAGCGAAACGAAACGGATCAAAGCCAGAACGCTGTTCTTCCTGTGTTCTTTGGGGGGGAGGCGCTGCGCCCTCCCCCCCATGCCCCCCACCAGCCTTAGGAAATTTATGTGGGGTAATGTTTAAGGCACAATACAAGACAGACGACACCAGACACAAGAACAAGAAGAAGAAGGAAGAACAACAACGAGAACAACAATAACAAGGCACAAAGGAAAAGAAGCGACACGAAACGGATCAAAGCCAGAACGATGTTCTTCCTGTGTTCTTTGGGGGGGAGGCGCTGCGCCCTCCCCCCCATGCCCCCCACCAGCCTTAAGAAATTTATGTGGGGCAATGTTTAAGGCACAATACAAGACAGACGACACCAGACACAAGAACAAGAAGAAGAAGGAAGAACAACAACGAGAACAACAATAACAAGGCACAAAGGAAAAGAAGCGAAACGAAACGGATCCAAGCCAGAACCATGTTCTTCCTGTGTACTACTACAACAACAACACTACTACTACTACTACTACTACTACTACTATTATTACTACTACTATTACAACAACTACTACTACTACTGCTACTACTGCTACTACTACTCCTACTCCTGCTCCTACTCCTACTCCTACTACTACTACTCTACTACTCTACGACTCTACTACCCTACTACTCTATTACTCTATTATTCTACTACTCTACTACTCTACTGTTACTACGACGACGCCGACGACGACGAGGACGACGACGACTACTACTATTACTACTACTACTACTACTACTACTACTAATACTAATACTACTACTACTACTACTACAACTACTACTACTACTACTACTACTACTACTCCTCCTGCTACTACTACTACTTCTACTACTACTACTACTACTACTCCTGCTGCTACTACTACTACTACTACTACTCCTGCTGCTTCTGCTGCTGCTACTGCTACTGCTACTGCTACTGCTATTACTACTACTATTACCACTACAACTACTTGTACTACTACTACTACTACTACCACCACTACTACTACTATTATTACTACTACTATTACAACTACAACTACTACTACTACTACGACTACTACCACTACTACTACTACCACTACTACTACTACTACTACTACTACTACTACTACTACTACTACTATCAACAACTAACTCCAAAGCGTAAATTTGTGTTATGCTACTACTACTACTACGACGACGACGACGACTACTACTACTACTACTGCTTCTACTTCTAGTCAGGCCAAAATCTAAAAAAAGATTTGCTGCGAGATGAGGAGTAGGGGGTGGTGGAGCCTTCCCTCCTGATCGTTGGAAGCTGGGTGGAGGGGGTTGTGGACCCACTCCGCCCTGTTTGTCGGCAGCTGAGGGGGGGGTGGTGGACCCACCCCCCCCTTGTTTGTCGGCAGCTGAGGGGGGGGGTGGTGGACCCACCCCCCCTTGTTTGTCGGCAGCTGAGGGGGGGGGTGGTGGACCCACCCTCCCCTTTGTGAATGGCTACAGTGACTATGAATGGCTATAGTGACAAAGCTGGGGGGGGGGTGGTGCACCCCCCCCTCCCCAAGTTGAAGAAGAACACAAGTGAGCAAACTATCGAATATGGAATATCGCATTTTCTCATACTAGGCCTGACCCATGTCATAGTACCATACTCCATGAAGTTACGGAGAACTCAAACGCACAACCTCCCTAGCTGCCCCTAGCTCCAAGCACCGGACCCTGGCACGAGGCCTGGATCTCCTTGAGAATCTGTTCTTGGCGCTGCCCGGCATACGGGTGGGCTGTGGAACCTGACAACAGTTCTATCATGTTCTATCTCACATTGGGAGAGTTGGAACAGTTTACTAGAGGAGCTGAGAATCAGACCCATGTCAACAGGAACACCTCAACATGAGACTACAAGTGACCACAAGCATGAACGCACTCTGATAGGAACCAGCTTCAGGGTGTCATGTGTGAGATTTTGATGCCGACCAAGAGGAGAGCTGGGACAAGTAATGCAATCAGCCAAGGTGAAATGCTTCAGTGCGCACTTGCATAGAATTGTCACCCGTGGTTACTGTCCACAAACACAAGAGACGAAGGAGACTATGACTCGAGACATTCCAGCTGAGCAGGATGCGCTTTCTAGCAACAACCATTGCTGCAGTCAGCGGTTGCTTTTTTTGTGTCTCTAATCGAATCAAATAGAGCTTACCAAATCACACGCCCACGACTGGTACAAGACTTCCTTGAGGCTCCTGATATCTTGTGACTAAGACTTGTTGGCTCCTTGCTTTGAAACAGGTGTGCGCATTTGCAATCCGGAGAAGCTGAAAATGCTGCATAGGCATGGAAGCCCAACAGCATAGTTTTGTCCATTGCAAGTACTGTTTCAAGAATCTGTCAACCTCCACACGCTCAAAGCATTCGGAACTTACTCACTTAACTTGATCCATGTTTTTCAGAAAGCAATACTTCGTCCTTCTTGGACCTGTCACAACCTTTGAACACAAGGCTTTTCACCTTGTGCTTTTTCCGTTCAGTTCTAAAGCAGCAGTGCAATGACGCTGCGTTGCAGTTAGCAGGACCAGCCCTCCTGGCCAAAAGCATCTTACAAAAACTTGCAAACGTGAATTACAGTAATTACAATGTAATTACAACATATTACAACATCTTACCACCAACTATTCGACCCGCGCGAAGTCACAATGGAACTTGTAGTGCCTGGGACATGTTACATGTTTGTGACCTTGGCCTTCCTCTAGAGTAGAAGTCTCCCAACCGGTAGCCGGGATGGCTTCAACCAGGCCTGCCAGGGCGTGCCCCCACCCTCTGCATGTCTCCTGGAAGGGCCTGATGTCAATTTCATTGGACCATCCCAAAGGTGACTGCTGTGCCAGTGCGAAGTATGTCTCGGCAATGTCGTCAGTACAACCCATCCTGCCACTGTTTGACAGAGCAAACTGAGCAAACACAGAAAGAGACACCAACACCAAATGTCCAGAGGTGCGCTGCAAACTAGCATGAGTGACAAATGTTTGAAGCCGCGCTATTTCTGGAAGCGTGCATCCAATCACAGCACTGTACCTTCAAATATGTTTCAAGGAAATTATCCCAACCTGTTCTAGAAAACACACATCAAGGGAAAAAAAAACATGATTTTGAACCCCAGGTCTTGTGTGCGGCGTACATCTCCGGCATCTTCTTCTGGGATCCCGGTGTATCAAGGACAGCATCAAGTCGCACATGAACTGAATGGATGCCCTGTTTGCCAAACTCTTTGGCGATGGACTGCGACAAAGCTCGCAGAGCATGTTTTCCACAGGCAAATTGGGCGGTGCCATTGCCACCGCGGAAAGCAGACGTTGCCTCACTGTCGTTTCTGGTTGATTGAAATTGATTGAGCACCTCTTGACTCCAACATAATCGACTTCGATGTTTGCTCCACAAGTGCAGTGCCTGGAACACCTACCGCACCGCACAGCTACAACATCCAGCATGCGAAATGCCATAACAAGTCTTACCTGCGGCCAAGATACTGATGAAAAGATTAAGGTTCCTTTCTTTTTCACTTTAAAATCGCCGGAACCTTCCGATGCCAACATCCCTGGCAACACTGCTTGTGAGCAAAGCAGAGCTCCTACACATGACGCATCGAATGAGCTTTTGAAGGTCTCAGGATCAATGTCCAGAATTGGAATGCCAAATCCACCACCACCGCAATTGTAGACCAATACATCCACCTGGAAAGCAACGGAAATGTGCTTTCGCTTGTAAGAGCTTGATAGGTAGAGTGCAACAAAGAGGCACAGCAATTCCAGTGTAGGATATGCTGATATGCTCTAAGTGGAAAACATACTAGACATGGGAAGTCATTCAAAGGCTGCATCGCTGAACTAGCGTGGTTCTTGCTAATGATCTATGGAGGAGATTTGTCACCTAACCTCATGATACCTCATGCCTTGCGACCTTTTGTGCAACGTACGTCTCTTCTGAAGCACATTCGTGTCATTAGTGTCATGGGCCTTTCCGAGTTCTTTCGCGGCTCTGCTAAACGCAGAGAGCACAGAGCTCTTGTCCGTGGCATTCACCTCATAGAACCCGTAGCTTGCACCCATAGCTTTCAGTTTCTCCTCACGCTCCACCAATCTGAGACAACAGAAAATCAAGCGCCAAAGGATAAAGCACTGAAGCATCAAAGTAAAGAAAACAGCAACGATGTGTTGACAAAACCTATTCTTTACAAAGGTGTCACCTCTTGGATGTGGCTGTGACCCATCTATAGGCGTTTTGCAAAACCCCAAGCACATTTTGCATGACTGCGTGGAATTTGCAACCCCATCCTCTGTTGGCAGAAAGCTATCAGCTGTTCGGCACATCCCTGCAATTTTGTAACCGGCCCTTGCAAAGCGGACTGCAGCACTACCTCCCATTCCCGGCCCACAGCCAACAACAGCACAGACGCTTGCCATGGTGGGTGATACTTTGGGGCCTGTGATGACCTGGGACTAAAACCTTGGATCCAAAATCCAAAGTAGCGCTTAACACTGTCCCAAACATTCAAACGGTTGTCGTATCTCAATAGCTGGAATCTTGACTTGATGTCAATGTAACCCGAAGCTTTTGCCAGGGTTTTTCCTCCAATGAAAAGCTGCCAGATTGTCTGTTTTACTCTGCGATGTTTCTGAAGCACGCTACGTCAGAAGGTATAATCCCAAAATGACACGTCTTGCAAGTTTTCTTTGCTGACAGAATTGCTCTAAATGCCTGCCAGTCATATGGTTCGATACTTCCTCAGCACCACCGTTCTGTTTTCCCCGTTCGATGCACATTGCTGCTCGAAATTCGAAGGTAGCCTCGCCAGGTGCCATTTCCAACCTCAGCACGATGACTCACCAATGTTTCCTGTCGCAGATTATAGAATCAGCTGAGTACAAATGGTCGCCTGCAATGCAACCACATCATAGTTGTTATATGATATGACTAGAAATCCCAGCCTGCGTATGGGTCGCTTGCCAAAGCAGTGGTAAGTCAACCCAAACCTCAGTAGGAAACCGAACTCGTGTCGTCACCTGAGATACCCTGTTTGGAAACAATGCGACACGATCTCAAAGACCATCCAAAATGCGCATCGTCTAGTTGTAATGTGCCACAAATCCTAGTTGCGAAGATATGGAAAGATATCTTGTTGTGTGTTATGCCGCTCTAAGTGCAAACACGAAATGCAAAGCAGGAGTGCAATCTGTTTTATCATGCGTAGCTTCGAACGCTAGGCTCAAAAGAGCCCTCTGGAATCGTTGTCCAGAGGCAAGACACGTAAAAGCCAAAGAGGCCGCGTCGAGAACGCCCAATGTGGTTCTGCAGCTGCATGTTGTGGTTCCAACCTGGCAAAGTGGTGAATGGATCAGTTTGGTGGCACCAAACTCACACCGGTGGAGAAGAAAGAAAAGTTCACCACGGTCCACCCAGGTTGCTGTTGTCACGCAACGTCTTAATGCATTGGCTGCAGCATTTCAAATCTCGTATGCCGGCTTGATTCGCTTGTAAAAGCGCTCGACAATCACGATGCAAATGGTATCGGGCTCCCGTCCGGCTCACAAAAAGAGAGGTTGATGTCACATCTTGCTCGTAGTAGTGAACCAAATTTTCAAGATCTTGGACTCTTTCGTCTTTGTCGTTCACCTGCTGTTGCAGCATCTGAACTCTGCAGTTCAAAAGGTGAATGGTTTGATCTCGTCCACTTTCGGTTTGGGTTGATACATCTTCCAGCGCAGCTTGTTGATTCCATAGGAACGCAAAAGGTCTCATCAGTGACCAGGGCATTCTTGAGGTTTGAAACCTAGGTACAGCCATAGGTCTCGGCAGGGACCTTGTCATTCTTTCTAAGCACTGCCATGCCAGAAAACTGTCGCCGCAAACATGGTGAGGAATGTGAAGATGAAAATGATGTTGTAGGATGAAAAAGAATCTTCTGCACAATCATCACCTCGAACTGGCTCAAGTTGATTTGTCAGCACTGCAAAACCAATGCCTTTCTGCAATCGACCAATCGCATCGCGTCTAGCTGAAGCTTGTCGTGCAGCAAGAGTTTTCTTCTTTGCTGCTTGGAAGCTCTGGTCGGAGTGCAGGGAAAAGACATGGGACCGTAAGCGGTCAGCAAGCAATTGCCGTGCTGCAATTTTGGTAACACCGTCTGCCAGTTGGGTCTCTGATGAAATCCATTTCAGTTTCGTTTTCATCTCATCCATTTTCTGTTTCACAACCATGACCTCAATCTTGGATCTTCGGTCGCCTTGCATCTGTGGAACTTCAGCTTTCAGGCTATCGTAGAGTGCCTTCGCGTCGACCACCAAGGCTGACTGCATTTGGATGTCGTGGACGTCCAAGTGGCGCAAGTCAAAGCCAGGAGTCACACATCCATGCCAGAAGATCAGGAGATACTCAAGGGCATCCATCGCACCAGCGCATGCTTGTGCTTCAGAGTTGAGGCTACTGCGGCTGATTCTGGGGAGTTTGTAGCTTCGCCAGTCCAAAACAACGTAGGGTTGGTCCAATTGACCTTGCAGTGCTTTCACATTCATCAGCAAAACAAAGTAGCCGCCTTGGGACTCATGGTTCTTTCGAACGCCCCAGGCTGCAACGCTCAAGGCTATCATGCATAGCTCATGTAGCTGGCCAAGGTCAGAAAATTGGAGTCCAACGTCGCTGTTGGCTTTGGCAAATCTCAGCAGCTTGTTTGCTTGGGTAGCTGTGGAAGCTGTTGCGGCGCTCGCTCCGCCACACAAAAGACTCACGCTTGCACTGGGGTGCGGTGAAGTCTGGGTTGCTGGCCATTGAAGGGCTCCTAGAAGTCCACGGAGCATTGTCAGTTCTTTGACAGTCAATTCACGATTCTCATCTGAATCGCTCAAGGTCAAAGGTTTGATCTTTTGGACATACGCCTGTTGGCGCAACCACCAGCCACCTTTTCCATCAGCCTCAAGGTCACAACCGCAAAACTGTAGTTGACCAGTTTCTTTTCCTTCGGTCCAATGTTTGAAGTTGAAACTCTCATGAAGAGCCTGTTTTGCCTTCTGGTAAACTTCATCGGATTCAAGTCCAGCACCGATGAGGTCATCGACATGAATGCCGATCATTGAAACCAATTGATCACCATGAAAAAGGCAATAAAGGCATTGATCTAGTGGATGTGGTTGGTACCCTGCAGCAATCAATCTTCTGCGGGTAACTTGAAACCATCTTCTTGGAGCATCGGCTTGCCCGTAAATGGGTTTGAGAAGTCGCATCAGTGTACCGGCTGGCACACCAATCAGCTGGCAAGCGTCTTTGGGAATTCTGGCCCACAAAATTCGCTTCTGTGGATCGCCTTGAAGAAAGGCTGTCGCAACATCAGAAATGAAAATAAGCCAGGATTTGCAAGTTGCAATGGCCGGGATAATCTGCCGTGAGGATCGGCTCAAGGTAGGGGAAGATGTGTCAAGCTCTCCTCGTAGTAGATCTGGATCAGAAAATCCTTGAAGAACCAAACGTGCTTTTGCGCGTGGGTTGCCATTGTTGTCGGCAGACCACTTCAGCACAAACCGTGCTTTCATCACGCGGTTCCAATCGACCTTCTCAGGATGGAGCTCAATCTCCCAAACTTGATTCTCAAAAATGGAGGCCAACTCAGCTTTCTTGCCCTCGATGAACGCCAGGCGGTCTTCAAGACTCATTCGGCTTTCCTTCAGGGTCAGCTGAATCCTTGACGTTCTTCTTGGGGTCAACGCCCCGAGGCGGGCGTGTTTTTTTTCCACGTTTGTGCTCTTTGGCAGTATACGTGTTTAATGCTCTTGCCGACTGTAAGATGACGCTACCGAAGACACGTTGCCCAACTTTGTTGCTGACGTCTTGCTACCTTGACCGGGAGGGGGGGTGGGGGGGGATGATAACGTTCCTTTCGACTGTAAGATGACGCTACCGAAGACACGTTGCCCAAGCTTTGTTGCTGACGTCTTGCTACCTTGAGCGGGAGGGGGGGTGGGGGGGTGGGGTGGGGGGGGGGATGATAACGTTCCTTTCGACTGTAAGATACATCCAGACTTTGGGCAAGCTCTTCAAAACGAAGAATGCCGACTGAAAGAGCACTGAGGAAAAAAAGAATGCATTGAACCTCAAGCAGATGCTGCGGAATTGCAGCAAACGTCAAAACATCATAGATCACAAGCATAAAATACTGTAAATTACAGTGTAAAAAGGTGATTTTTGATTCAATCAGCAAGTACACAATTGTAGAAAACCCACACCCGCCTCAAGGCGGTGTTCCCTTCTTCTTCTTGGGCGCAGCTTGGGCAGACCAGATATGGCCACGGCTTCGGATGGTTTTGTTGTTGAACTTCTTGGACAGGTCGCCAACGTAGTTTTGGCCAAACTCAGCTGCAGCATCTTTGGTCAGTGGGTACAAGGTCTTTCCAAACCATGTTTCATCACCCACAGGGGCAGACTGCTCCTCGTTGACCAGGATGATGCGGCTGTTGCGTCTCATTGTCAGGCCATTTGTGGTCTGGAGCTTCTCGGCAGGCAAGGGAAAATCTATTGTATGAAAAGTGCAATCCCTTGACCAAACATGGTTTCTACTTGGTTTCTAACCAAAAATCCATCTTCAAAGCTCCAAAAATCTGCTGTGGAACCAAGGTAGATCTCATGGGTTTTCGGATCATAGTGCCATCCAGCTGGAAGGTTAGTTGAGCCTTCACAGCCATTTGAAAAGAGTTCCACGGCGATGTTGACCGCTTCATGATGCTTGGCACGCTTTGAATTGCCAGGGCTTTGAGGATCAGGGTGATCATGCACCAGTGGCCACAATGGAGATCGCATCCAAGAAGTCTCACTTCGTTCATGTTGCCGTCGACGTTGAGCAAAGGAAAGTCCGGGAAGTTGTGGAGGTGCCTCAGGCATTGAAGATTGGGTGATGGTGTTGTCAGCTGCAATGGTGGGCTGATCAGCTTCACTGTCATCACCATCAGGGATTGGAACATCTTGCGGAAGAGGTTCAGGCATAAGTCCAGGACCTGCCTCTCCGCTGGAGGGTGCTGCTGCTGCTTCAGCTTGCTGTGAAGGTTGTGGCTCTTCAGAGTCGCGCAAGTCCAAGTCCAAGCGCCTTGACTCTTCCGGTAAGTCCAAACCGGGATCCTTTGGCAAGTCCAAGCCAGAAGACGGATCAGCCACAGGAAGAGGTGGATCTTCAGCAGGATCTTTTGGAAAATCATCGATGGGTTCAGTTGGCTCATAGGAAAATGATCGCACTGATTCAGGTCGTGCTGCTGGGGCATCTTGCTCACCTTGATCAGGAGGATGGTTGGTCTTGGCTTTCTTTGGAGAGGGCAGAGGGCTCATCAAAAATTCCGTCAGAGATTTCACCCTCAAGCTCCTCCAAGGTGTGCTTGTTGATGCGCCGCAAGTCGGCAGTTCGGACAACTCGCCGTTGACGGAGACCAGCGATGGCTTGTTCAGCACGTTGAGCTCCATTGACAAGACCTTCTTGGCCAACAAGTCGTCGAACATGTTGACGTCCGGCACGGATGAGCACAGTGCCGTGGGCCATCCAGTAGGTGTCAATGGTGCCAGTGTCTGGGTCTCGTTGGACAGCAACGACCGTGGCAGGGCCTTTCCACTGACAAGTGTGGAATCGATTGCCAACTTCTCGCCAGTAAAGGCATCGTTCACCTGGCTGCAGATCTTCATCAGCACCTGAAAAGCGTCGGAGTAGAGCACGTCGAAGTTTGACGTCAATCTCCGCAACAGCACATGCATTTTGGGCACTTGCTTTGAGTTCAAGTCGTCGTCGTAGTCGATCTTGTTCAGTTTGTTGAAGTTGAATTGGACCAGTGCGCTCGTCAGAGATGAGTCCAGGCATGTTTGGTTGTTTTCCCAGGGCAAGTTGCATAGGGGTAAATCCATTCACGAAGGTGCATTGATTCAATGTGGGCACAGTCCAGTTCAAGGCCGTGTGAAGTCCATCAAGGCCGCGTAGTCCATTTTCTGTCATGAAGATGGAGAGTGCTTTGCGAAGGAGTTGGTGTCTTCGCTCCACAATTGAAGTTCGTGAATGACTTTGCCCAGGGGGAATCTTCATCTCTATGTCGTGGTCGCCAGACCATTGCATCATAGCGTCACTGCCCCATCCAGACCATTCATCAACGCTCAGCTGCTTCGGAGGGCCAAAGTAGCGAATCCATTCACGTTCAACAGCTTTCATGAGGGAGTTGCTTGATTCATCAGGAATGGTTCGCACAGCCATGAAGCGAGTTGCAGAGTCAACCATGACCAACATGCCAATCTTCCGCTTGGAGGCTTTGTCAGAAGGGGCATCAGGCTCAACTGAGCTCAAATCAAACCACAGGGTGTCGGCCTGAAGCTGCTCATTGAAGTCCATGGGACGCTCGGCATGAGCTGGAGCTGATTGTTTCCTTGAAGAAAACTTGTTGCAGTAAGGGCACTCAAGGGCTTCGGCTGCAGCGATGACCTTTGGGTCTGCATTCTTGGCCTGCAGCATGCGGACCAAAGTGTCCTTTCTCGGATGCCCAAGGTTTCGATGGAGGCGGTAGGCAATGCGCACCGCTTCAGAGCCATGCTTTGTGCCAAGTTTTCGAAGAACTCCAGTCAGCTCTTGAGCTTCGGCGTCTTGTTGAACAGCATAGGCCTGTTCCGACAAACCCTCATCTTCAAGAAGGGCACGAGCTAAATTCCAGGCAAGCTCGCATTGGTAATTCTCAGCCTTCTTGCAACGGCTTCCACCTTCAAGTCGGGCATGTTGATGGTTGCCTGAGCATCGTTTGGACATGATGCGACACATCGCACGTTTTGTGGTCTGAATGGAGGTGGTTTTCATGATAGGTACTTCATCATCATCAACTGTGGTAGTGGAACCATATTCACATTGATCAAAGGTTGTGCGTTCACCTGGAAGTTTGGCAAAGGCTGCTGTTTCCCAGGCAGCACTGCGGTGTGGATGTTCAATGTGTGCATGTGCTCCACGTTTCACCTGAAACCAGTACAGCTTCTTGCAAAACTTCAGATGGATCTCATGGTCAAAGTCACGTCGCTCCCAAAGTTCATCCCAATCAGCTTCACAACGCATGTTGATGGCCTGCATGGGAGACCAGAGTGTGCACTTGGGAGACATGTAGATCTCATCCGGCTCAAGATCATAGGCCAGTTCCATCAAAGGTTTTCGATGTGCCAATTTGGAGAAGTCCCATCCATTGTTGAGTCCAAAACGCATCACATCGGCACCAAGGCGTTCAGCTTGTTCGCCTAAAAGTCCAGTGCCACTGTAGACTTCCCAAATGGGCTTCTTTCGTGGGTGAGGTTGGCATCGAGCTTCATAGGCAAGTTGGGCTGCTTTCTTGGAGGTTTCAACCAGTTGACCCTGAATCCATGACCAGGTCTTCGACATTGAGCATTGAGTGCGTTCGGTCAGCTCATGGGCATGAAAGTGCTCCTCAGGAACCTGCTCATCCACATTCACATAGGTCTCAACATCAACGAGTATCTCAGAGGCGTCGTCAGTGAATTGGACCTCGGAGATCATTTCCTCATAGCGCTCGGCAGCACGTAGATCTTGAAGAAAATCTTGCAAAGAGCATGCGTCATCGTGGTCATCATCCTTGGCTCTGAGGTCGAACTGCGGGTTCTCGAAGTCCTCGATGGAGTTGAAAGTTGCGGCAAGCCGTAGAAGCATCGCATCTTGCTTGCCACGTTCGATCTCGGTCCATCGGCCACCAAGGATGCGCATCTTGCCACTTCCAAAATCCACTACAGCACCAAGTTGTTCGAGAACTGGGCGTCCAAGCACATTGGGGTGGCTCCGAACACGATGAAGCACTGCATTGGACCTGAAATGTTGGCGAAGTGCACGGGCAACTCAACCATCCAGCGGGCATGTCCATCAGCATCACCACCAAAACGAAAAGATTTGTTGCACTTCTTGAAGGAGATGGTGTTCATGGGGTATCCCTGAACTTCCAACCATTTCAGATATCGCAAGATGTACTCGCTGCCAGCCAAAAAGGATGAGGCTCCTTGGTCTTGGATGCACATGTCGACCTCCTTTGTCACCCATCCACCAGCACGCACCACAGATTCGCCTTGCATGTAGGTCTCCTCAATCTCATGGAACTCATCGCCAGAGGTCTGGAAGACCATGTTCACCATCGGGTCAAGGTCGATGGGACGCTTCTTTGCAGGAGAAGAGGCACCAGAGGCAGCAGCAGAAGAGCTCTTGCAGTTTGCAGCTTTGTGGCCAGTCTTGCCACATCTCAAACAAACTAGATCCCCCGCTATGGCTTTTCCTCTAGCTTTGATACCCTTTCCCTATTGTTCCCTTTGGTGGATATGGTGACTGTTTGGATCCCTTCTTACTTTGGCCTTTAGACTTTGAACTACCCCCACCTTGAGACATGCTGGAACCCTTGCCGTCCACCAGTGCCACAACCGGGTAGAAGCCACGGCTTTGGCGCAACTGTGCAAGTCGGCTCTTGGCATCGGCATATGCAGAGCAGACGGAATCGAACTCCGCCACATCGAAGAGCGACTCGTCTTCGACGGCAGCTTCGCTCGGATTCCACTCAGAGGCAGTGGGAGACCAGTCAACTTGTGAACCAAAGTATGTTTCATCCCATTCTTCATCGCATTCATAGTATTGATCATCATCATTTTCGTAGTAGGTATCCATATAGTTTTCATTCCAATCATCTTGAAACTCATGTTCATCATCTTCTGCATGGTGCACATTGGAACGACCCTTTCCTTTGGGGAATGATTTTCCACGGTGACTTTGATGATTGGATTGCTTGAAGTCTTGACCAAAAACCAGAAAAAGGCTTTGCTCCACGTTTCCCAGTGTCAACGTTTTGCCAACCTGGGACTGCACAAGGTGTTGTTGGTCCTTGGTCAAGGCTGCTCTGCGCAACATGAGCCATCCAGTGATTTCCTCAGGAAGATCTACCTTCAGTCTCTGAACATCACGTAGGGCTTGGTGAAAATCAGTCACATAGTCCAAAAGTGATTGGTTGGGCATTCGCTGAACCTTGAAGAAAAAGGTGTCAAATATGGATCCCAGCTCAACCCTTTCATCATATTTCCATTTCGAATCCAACCGTCGCAGCAACACATCTAGGCCGTTTTCGGCTTCCAGTTCCTTGAGGTCTATGTCTTCACATTGCGTCCAACTGGAACCTTCAAGTACTGCCAAAACATTCATGGCAACTTCTTTTGAACGACCTTGCAGCTCAAGCCTACGGGCATACAGTTGAACCCTTTTCCGCCACTCCTTGTAGCCGCTGATGGTATTGTCAAACCTAGAGGTTTCGGTCGGAGAGGTAGGAGATGATCCAGCACCGCCGCCAGCAGCTCTTCTCGCCGGAGAAGTCGACATGGCAGCGCGGGCTGGAGCCGGATCTTTGCCGGCTCCGCTACCAATGCGAAGATATGGAAAGATATCTTGTTGTGTGTTATGCCGCTCTAAGTGCAAACACGAAATGCAAAGCAGGAGTGCTATCTGTTTTATCATGCGTAGCTTCGAATGCTCAAAAGAGCCCTCTGGAATAGTTGTCCAGAGGCAAGACACGTAAAAGCCAAAGAGGCCGCGTCGAGAACGCCCAATGTGGTTCTGCAGCTGCATGTTGTGGTTCCAACCTGGCAAAGTGGTGAATGGATCAGTTTGGTGGCACCAAACTCACACTAGTCTGTAAAAATATGTGTGTCTGTCTAAAAAAAGCAGAAGTCGGTCTGGCAAAATGTCAAATATGCACCTAAGCCTCTAACTAAGCACTAAATATTAAAAATCACACCTGCTTGGAATTGAGACAGATAACTACAGTCTACAGTTTCCTTTTCATCGGTTTTCGCAAGGAGTTTGGATACGGTTCGCATATCTTCGCATAGTTTTTAAAGGTACGGAGACAAAACAACACGTGGGCTGAACAATGCTGAACAGCAGGCCGCCATGCTGAGAGACCTGCTGGGATAGATTCAATGGGACATAACATGTGACACAAGACAGCAGTGATGGGCGCCAAAGTGTGGGGTGAGGTTTCATGACAACTAAGCATTCCAATCATTTCCAGATTTCCAGCTCTCTAGGGAACAACCCAACTCACCAAGACAAGCCCCACGCAATAGCAGTCAAATCAGTCGATCTTGCACTGGGTGGTCCAACCGAGGGATACCGCCAGCTGTTGACTTCCAACAACAACACCTGGAAGTGATGAGATGTGCTGGAAAACACTTGCCAGAATTAAGGCAAACACTTTATTCGTTTGAGGTCCAGGCCTTGTCCTCTTCCTGGTGAAAAGCGCCTATAGGCCTCATACCACTGTGGCAGATCCAGTCGATATGTGGAAGAAACAAACAGAGGGCCTAAGGGATCACTGAATCACTGCAGTTGAACCGGTTGTCCGGTTGTCTTGGCTGCCCTGCGCATAGTGACCTTCATGAAGCACTGAATTTTCCATCAAATGATCATGTCAACCTTCACTCAACACATTCCAAACCAAAAATATTGCCTCCACTGAACATCCGCTGTCCGACGACTGAACCTTGGCTGCACTGCATACACTGTATACATCGTTTCCTCTTTTGCAAAATTGGTCAAAATCTCGAGCATCCAACGTGAATAATTCACCAAAATGTAGTTCCTTCCCATCAGGTGCAGGGGAGGCTACAGAAATCTAGAAGACACCTTTTGTATGCCGCCATCTCATCCCACTTTCTTGTGAAGTATGAAACAAAGCGATGCTCCTGGGCCACGGATCTCCACGGTCAAGCGATGGAAAACATTCTGCAACCTGCAAGCATAGGATTTCAAAAGATTTTAAAAGTCTGCAATTTTTTTAAGTCGAAATGGTGCAACAAGTTTCGACCTGAGCGCCTTGCATCAGCACGGAACGCATCCTCGTCCAAATTGCCAGCACCTCAGTTCATCAAAGGTTTCACATCCAAAGCATGTCTCGTTATGGAGGAATATGGCCGATGCCTTTAAAGTACTGGGTTGCTGGCTTTTGATCTGGACATCAAAATCTAACAATCGGAGCCATTCCGCTAGAAGTGCCAAGGGAGCTCCATCATACCTGCATCTGAAGCGGCAGTTACATAGGTGGCAACAGGATCCAGGAAACCTGATTCAAGTCTGAAAAACCATTTGCAATGAAGGGTGTTTGCATGCAAATGTTGCAGGCTAAACCAGCTGCGGGTACTGCAAGTGCGAAAGCAACCAATACCTTAAAAATCGTGAAATTTCACGGTCCAATTGAGACAAGCTTCCCATTCACAACTGTCACAACACTGTCATAACACTGTCACAACACTGTCACAGTGACCACAACTATCTGATGTTTCTTGGAAAACTAGTTGTGACTATTGAGTCAGCCTGACACAGCCTGAGTCCGTGACTTTAACATGCCAGGCAAGGAATCCAGTGCATCCAAGCCATAACAGGCCATCACAGGAGGCCAAGCAACGGCCTGGCGGAAGATCTCCACAAAGCGTTTTTGCTCTGCTGGGCCAACCTGGCAAAATCCCAAAGCCATGTGAAAAATGTGGATTTCTGTGAATTGGGTACCCAAAAGCCCAATGGTCTATCAATTTTATCATCATCTTTTTCTATACAGTAAAAACTTGCCAACTTTTTTGCGTCATACTGAGTAGTTATAAGTGTTGATCATTGGCAAACCCAATGTTTGGATACACCGCTGCCGTCTCAAAAATGCTTGGAAGCTTGATGAAGGCCTCACCAATGGCATTGATGCATCGCATTGAACACTTCAAATGGGAGGTTCCGACACCAATGGGTATTGGACGTTCAATCTCATCAATCTGTCAAAATTTATCTACAAATCGATGAAAATGGCATGTTTCCCATATATATATACATACAGGAAACGAAGCAATGGAAATACCATCGAGAATCCACGATGCACTGACACATCCAGCCCTTTTGTAGCTGGCCATGGTTGACTTGTTCAAGCTGTCCTGCAGGAACAACACAAAAAACACAAGTTGAGCCGGGCAACTCCTTCAGTTTGAGCTATTGTCATGGCAGAAGCCACTGCGCAAAATGCAGGATGTTCCTGTCAATGCGAAAACAATTTGCAAAGGACAAATTTGCTGGGAACTTATTTGTTTGATCCAAAAGAAAATGGATTTTTTACTTGAGCGCGCCATGTTTTTTGTTGCCTGGGTTTGGTGCCAATTTGCTAAATTCAAAACAAGGGCGTGACAAGTCGAGGGCTGACAAATACATTGTGTTTGCCTGTCGAAGCAAAGCGCGGACCAAATCTCGGTTGACTTTCCTGAGCTGGCATGTTGAAACATTGACAAAATGAACGGGCAAGTGTTGGCCAATACCTAAGTTTCGTACGCAGAAGCTGCTATGCATTGACCCTGTTTGGACTCGAAATCAACCAGCCTGAGAAGATGTTGTTTGCAGGGGAGTTTTCACCACTGAACATGTTCGTCCCGTTGCTGGTGCAAAAATTGCAATTAAAAATGTTGTTTGGATTTCAACAGTTGAGATACCAGACTCCTCGGGAAGCGCAAATCGCTGGCCTGAGGAAACACGAAACACTATATCACTATATATATATATTATATGTATATATTGCTAACTTTCGCGACCTATGGGTTGTAGCCGAAATGAATTTTCGGTTTTGGTATTTATCTTGGCAGGTCTGGCACATGCGTGAGTCATACCCTAGATGCACATTGGGGCTGTCAAGAAAAAATGCAAGCAAGCCGATCAGTGTCAACGCCAGCGCCAGCTCTCTCAAAAAAACCTATGAGCATAGAATAAAACAAAAAAAACATATTTTATTATTTCCAAAAAAAGTGATTTAAATGAATAGGAATCAAAAAAAACATTAGGAAAAAACAAATACAAATTGGAAAAAATAAAAACAAAAAATAATCAAAAAACAAAAACAAATGAATAAATTTAAAAATAAAATAAAATAGAATTAAAAATGAACAACAACCCCAAAAAATAATGAAAAGATTAAAAAAATAAAAAGTAAATAGAACAATAAATCAACAAAACGAAAATGAAACCGAAAAAGATAAATACATAAACAAGATGCAGCCCACGAACCCGAATGCTCACACGTACGTTAATGGTACAGATGTCAAAACACATGGATATGCAATCACGCAGAACACTTTTCTGCAATAGTTTATGTGAACAGTCGTGTACATATTTCCCCCGTTACCAGTCTGCAGTGTGGAGTGTGGAGTGTAGCGTGTGGAGTGTAAAGTGTAGAGTGTGGAGTGTAAAGTGTGGAGTGTGGAGTGTAAAGTGTAGAGTGTGGAGTGTGGGGTGGAAAGTGTAGAGTGTAGAGTGTGGAGTGTGGAGTCAGGAGTCTAAAGTGTAAATTGTGGAGTGTGGAATGTGGAATGTAAAGTGTCGAGTGCGGAGTGTGGAGTGGAAAGTGTAGAGTGTGGAGTGGAAAGTGGAAAGTGTAGTGTGGGGAGTGTGTACCGTAAAGTGAGGAGTGTGGAGTGTGGAGTGTAAAGTGTGGAGTGAGGAGTGTGGAGTTTGTACATTGTAGAGTGGGGTGTGGAGTGTAGAGTGTAAAGTGTAGAATGTAAAAGGTAGAGTGTGGTGTGTGGAGTGTAAAGTGTAGAGTGTCGAGTGTGGAGTGTGGAGTGAGGAGTGTAAAGTGTAAAGTGTGGAGTGTGGAGTGTAAAGCGTCGAGTGTGGAGTGTGGAGTGAGGAGTGTGGAGTGTAGAGTGTGGAGTGTGTAAAGTGTGGAGTAAGGAGTGTGGAGTAAGGAGTGTGGAGTGTGGAGTGAGGAATGTAAAGTGTAAAGTGTGGAGTGTGGAGTGTCGAGTGGAAAGTGTAGAGTGTGGAGTGTGGAGTGTAGAGTGTGGAGTGTGAAGTGTGGAGTAAGGAGTGTAAAGTGTGGAGTGGGGAGTGTAAAGTGTAAAGTGTGGAGTGTGGAGTGTAATGTGTGGAGTGTAAAGTGTGGAGTGTAAAGTGTAGAGTGTGGAGTGTAAAGTGAGGAGTGTGGAGTGTAAAGTGCAAAGTGCGGAGTGTGGAGTGTAAAGAGTAGAGTGTGGAGTGTGGAGTGGAAAGCGTAGAGTGTGGTGTGTAAAGTGTGGAGTGTGGAGTGTAAAGTGTGGAGTGAGGAGTGTAAAGTGTGGAGTGTAAAATGTAAAGTGAGGAGTGTGCAGTGTAAAGTGTCGAGTTTAAAATGTCAAGTGTGGAGTGTAGACTGTGGTGTAAAGTGTCGAGTGTAAAGCGTAGAGTGAGGAGTGTGGAGTGTAAAGTGTGGAGTGCGGAGTGTAAAGTCTCGAGTGAGGAGTGAAGAGTGTAAAGTGCAAAGTGTAAACTGTGGAGTGTAAAGTGTAGAGTGTGGAGTGTGGAGTCTAAAGTGTAAATTGTGGAGTGTAAAGTGTAGAGTGAGGAGTGCGGAGCTTCGCCCATAGACACGGCGACGCCACAGGAAAACCAGAGACTCGAGACGAGACACTTGGGTGCAGAAAAACGAGCATTTCGTGCGAGACCTCCTCCAATTTTGACATTTTCGACACGTTATCAAACAGGTTGGAATGTCACAAAGTGCCACGCCTGCCACGCAAAACGACATGACAACCTGCTTCGAAACCTTCGAAAAAGAGAGGTTTTGCAGCTTCCTCCATAGACACGGCGACGCCACAGGAAAACCAGAGACTCGAGACGAGACACTTGGGTGCAAAAAAACGAGCATTTCGATTGCATTTCGTGCGAGACCTCCTCCAATTTTGACATTTTCGACACGTTATCAAACAGGTTGGAATGTCACAAACTGCCACACCTGCCACGCAAAACGACATGACAACCTGCTTGGAAACCTTCGAAAAGGAAATGTTTTGCAGCTTCCCCCATAGACACGGCGACGCCACAGGAAAACCAGAGACTCGAGACGAGACACGTGGGTGCAAAAAAACGAGCATTTCGTGCCAGACCTCCTCCAATTTTGACATTTTCGACACGTTATCAACCAGGTTGGAATGTCACAAAGTGTCACGCCTGCCACGCAAAACGACATGACAACCTGCTTGGAAACCTTCGAAAAGGAGATGTTTTGCAGCTTCCCCCATAGACACGGCGACGCCACAGGAAAACCAGAGACTCGAGACGAGACACGTGGGTGCAAAAAAACGAGCATTTCGTGCGAGACCTCCTCCACTTTTCACACTTTGTAGCTTCAAAATCGACGTTTTCCTACGAGTTTTCCTTAGAACCTGAAAAAAAATGCTACCTCAAAATCGATGTTTCGTGCGAAGCTTCCGTCAATTTTCAGCACATGTCACAAAATGCCACGCCTGACACGAAATTTGCACCTTGTCGCCACTTGACGCAGCCCTGCCAATGCGATTTACAAAAAGCACGCAACAAGACACGTCTAAAGTGCTGCGCCGGACACGTCCAAAGTGCTGCGCCTGCCACGAAAACTGCAACACATCTTCTGCAAACGGCGCAAAAGTATTACGCCTGCCACGCAAAACGACTTTCGGCACGTTGCAGAACACGTCTGAATGTCACGAAGTGCCACGCCTGCCACGCGAAACGAAGCAACGACGCATTGGAAACCTCCAAAAATGACCACCTCTGCAGAACTTCCCATAGGCACGGCCATACGGAGTTCGTACGAACGGTTGCGGACGGTTGCGGACGGTTGCGACCACAAACGCAACGTCGAGCGAACACAACCTCAACCCCCAGACCCCCAGAGTGAAACGGGAACCCTTGCTATGCATTCGGGGAAAAAAAAGACAATAATATATTTAAATTAAAAGCAAAACATATTTCAAAATCCTCCAAAAAAAAACAAAAAAAATAAAATCCAAAAAAATAAACCAAAAAAAAAACCCAAAAAAATAAAATCCAAAAAGAAAATAAAATCCCAAAAAAGAAATTAAAATCCAAAAAAAAAATAAAATCCAAAAAATAAAAATAAAATCAAAAAATAAAATCCAAAAAAAAATAAAATCCAAAAAATGAAATAAATGCCAAAAAAAAAGTTCTTTTATCTATTTTGGGAAAACTTGTAGGTACTTTTTTCTTTCCACCAGCAGTGAAACCACATTTTGAACATGAAAATAGGGACAAAAATGCATTTTTTGTCCCTATTTTCATGTTCAAAATGTGGTTTCACTGCTGGTGGAAAGAAAAAAGTACCTACAAGTTTTCCCAAAATAGATAAAAGAACTTTTTTTTTTGGCATTTATTTCATTTTTTGGATTTTATTTTGTTTTTTGCGATTTTATTTTTTTTTTGGGATTTTATTTTTTTTTGGGATTTTATTTTTTTTTTGGGATTTATATTTTTTTTTGGGATTTTATTTTTTCTTGGGCTTTTGAAATATTTTTTGCTTTTTTTTAAAAATATATTATTGTCTTTTTTTTGTTTTTTTCCCGAGTGCGTAGCAAGGGTTCCCGTTTCACTCTGGGGGTCTGGGGGTTGAGGTTGTGTTCGCTCGACGTTGCGTTTGTGGTCGCAACCGTCCGCAACCGTTCGTACGAACTCCGTATGGCCGTGCCTATGGGAAGTTCTGCAGAGGTGGTCATTTTTGGAGGTTTCCAATGCGTCGTTGCTTCGTTTCGCGTGCACGCGTGGCACTTTGTGACATTCAGACGTGTTCTGCAACGTGCCGAAAGTCGTTTTGCGTGGCAGGCGTAATACTTTTGCGCTTTTGCAGAAGATGTGTTGCAGTTTTCGTGGCAGGCGCAGCACTTTGGACGTGTCCGGCGCAGCACTTTAGACGTGTCTTGTTGCGTGCTTTTTGTAAATCGCATTGGCAGGGCTGCGTCAAGTGGCGACAAGGTGCAAATTTCGTGTCAGGCGTGGCATTTTGTGACATGTGCTGAAAATTGACGGAAGCTTCGCACGAAACATCGATTTTGAGGTAGCAAAATTTCGATTTTGAAGCTACAAAGTGTGAAAAGTGGAGGAGGTCTCGCACGAAATGCTCGTTTTTTTGCACCCACGTGTCTCGTCTCGAGTCTCTGGTTTTCCTGTGGCGTCGCCGTGTCTATGGGGGAAGCTGCAAAACATCTCCTTTTCGAAGGTTTCCAAGCAGGTTGTCATGTCGTTTTGCATGGCAGGCGTGACACTTTGTGACATTCCAACCTGTTTGATAACGTGTCGAAAATGTCAAAATTGGAGGAGGTCTCGCACGAAATGCTCGTTTTTTTTGCACCCATGTGTCTCGTCTCGAGTCTCTGGTTTTCCTGTGGCGTCGCCGTGTCTATGGGGGAAGCTGCAAAACATTTCCTTTTCGAAGGTTTCCAAGCAGGTTGTCATGTCGTTTTGCGTGGCAGGTGTGGCACTTTGTGACATTCCAACCTGTTTGATAACGTGTTGAGAATGTCAAAACTGGAGGAGGTCTCGCACGAAATGCTCGTTTTTTTGCACCCAAGTGTCTCGTCTCGAGTCTCTGGTTTTCCTGTGGCGTCGCCGTGTCTATGGAGGAAGCTGCAAAACCTCTCTTTTTCGAAGGTTTCGAAGCAGGTTGCCATGTCGTTTTGCTTGGCAGGCGTGGCACTTTGTGACATTCCAACCTGTTTGATAATGTGTCGAAAATGGCAAAATTGGAGGAGGTCTCGCACAAAATGCTCGTTTTTCTGCACCCAAGTGTCTCGTCTCGAGTCTCTGGTTTTCCTGTGGCGTCGCCGTGTCTATGGGGGAAGCTCCGCACTCCACACTCTACAATTTACACGCCACACTCCACAATTTACACTTTAGACTCCACACTCTACACTTTACACTCCACACTTTACACTTTGCACTTTACACTCTTCACTCCTCACTCGAGACTTTACACTCCGCACTCCACACTTTACACTCCACACTCCTCACTGTACGCTTTACACTCGACACTTTACACTACACTCTACACTCCACACTTGACATTTTTATCTCGACACTTTACACTGCACACTCCTCACTTTACATTTTACACTCCACACTTTACACTCCTCACTCCACACTTTACACTCCACACTCCACACTCCACACTCTACACACCACACTCTACGCTTTCCACTCCACACTCCACACTCTACTCTTTACACTCCACACTTTGCACTTTACACTCCACACTCCACACTCCTCACTTTACACTCCACACTCTACACTTTACACTCCGCACTCCACACTCCACACATTACACTCCACAGTCTACACTTTACACTCTACACTTTACACTCCACACTCCACACTCTACACTTTACACTCTACACTCTACACTCTACACTCTACACTTTACACTTTACACTCGACAGTCCACACTCCAAACTTTACACTTTACATTCCTCACTCCACAATCCACACTTTACACTTTACACTCTACACTCCACACTCTACAATCTACACTTTGCACACTCCACACTCCTTACTCCACACTTTACACTCCACACTCTACACTCCACACTTTCCACTCCACACTCCACACTCTACGCTTTACACTCCACACTCCACACTTTACACTTTACACTCCTCACTCCACACTCCACACTCGACACTCTACACTTTACACTCCACACACCACACTCTACACTTTACATTCTACACTTTACACTCTACACTCCACACCCCACTCTACAATGTACAAACTCCACACTCCTCACTCCACACTTTACACTCCACACTCCACACTCCTCACTTTACACTACACACTCCCCACACTACACTTTCCACTTTCCACTCCGCACTCTACACTTTCCACTCCACACTCCGCACTCCACACTTTACACTCCACATGCCACACTCTACAATTTACACTTTAGACTCCTGACTCCACACTCCACACTCTACACTTTCCACCCCACACTCCACACTCTACACTTTACACTCCACACTCCACACTTTACACTCCACACTCTACACTTTACACTCCACACGCTACACTCCACACTCCACACTGCAGACTGGTAACGGGGGAAATATGTACACGACTGCTCACATAAACTATTGCAGAAAAGTGTTCTGCGTGATTGCATATCCTTGTGTTTTGACATCTGTACCATTAACGTACGTGTGAGCATTCGGGTTCGTGGGCTGCATCTTGTTTTATGTATTTATCTTTTTCGGTTTCATTTTCGTTTTGTTGATTTATTGTTTTGTTTACTTTTTAAATATTTTTTAATCTTTTCATTTTTTTTGGGTTGTTGTTCATTTTTAATTCTATCTCTTTTTATTTTATTTTTAAATTTATTCATTTGTTTTTGTTTTTTGATTATTTTTTTGTTTTTATTTTTTCCAATTTGTATTTGTTTTTTCCTAATGTTTTTTTGTTTTGATTCCTATTCATTTAAATCATTTTTTTTGGAAATAATAAAATATGTTTTTTTTATTTTATTCTATGCTCATAGGTTTTTTTGAGAGAGCTGGCGCTGGCGTTGACACTGATCGGCTTGCTTGCATTTTTTCTTGACAGCCCCAATGTGCATCTAGGGTATGACTCACGCATGTGCCAGACCTGCCAAGATAAATACCAAAACCGAAAATTCATTTCGGCTACAACCCATAGGTCGCGAAAGTTAGCAGTGTCCAATCATCAAACGTGATCACACCGTGCACGAATCAAGCATTGTAATGGGTTGGAAAGCATTCCCATTTCAGGATGGATCCAAACGTATGAAATACCATCCATAAATCCCAGCTATTTTGGGGTGAACAAAAGGGCATTCCATGGGTTTGGACCCAATCGCACGCATAGGTTTAGGTGTTGGTTGGATCCTTTGGTGTTACATCCAATACATGTTGGTTACGAGGATCCCACCCCCCTAATAATTCCCATACTGAGCCAGGGTTCAAATGGGGGCATTTGACATATGGGGGAGTAGTTACAGGAAAACGCCGATAATGTCAACCCTGGATTAATATGATATAAACCACTGGGCTGTTTCGGGTACTATTTAAGCATCAGATTATCACCTACCACCACGGGGTTGACATGAAACAACTCTGGGGAGGCTAAAGATGAGGACTGGAGGGCCCGACTTCCACGGCAGATGCGGATGGCGTGTCGATAGCAATGCTTTTTTCCAAGCCCCAATTTGATGCTATCAGTTTAAGAAGTTTTTAAAGGGGAACATGCTGATTCACAAAAGGTGGCTGGCTGGAATGAGGTTCCATATTGAGCCATTTTCTTGATAATCCTCAGAATCCGCAGGAACAAAACAGGACCATGTTTGGATTTTCATCTCCCTATCTGTGTTCAGTATTGTCTCATCGCCAGGGCTACCAGCCAAAGTGCATGATCCAAGAGTCAGTCGGTTAATGGTTTAGAATAGAACTTGGTTTAGAAGTATAGAAACGTAACGATTCATATCGGAGTGGTAGGGATGGATCAGCTGACCATTGGAGATGTCCATTGCCGGAGATGTTGGACATATTGGAGCAGTGGAGCCTTTCTTTCATGCCCAGCTTCCCAGTCGAGGCCCATTGGAGAACTACTAGGGGCTAAAATCCAAAAAATACCATGGAAAGATTGGATCTGGATTTTACCAATGGATTTCTGGATTTATGGATTTTTCCATTGCATTCTTTAACAACCTTGCGCAATCTATCTTTGAAAGACATGGGGTTGCTTTATTAGGGGCCTGCTTCAAGTTGATGTTTTAGGCTAGAGGCACCCTAGAGAAGACCACACTTTTCCTTCAGTGGCCGATATTCTGGTGATGCTAAGGCACACTCTCAAAAGAGACCTGAGGCTGGCAAACCCTTGAAGAGCAATCCCCAAAAAATGTTTCTCATGGTTTTATATCTTTTTGGCTGTATTTCATGGGTTTATGTGGATTTACTTGGTTTTTCATGGTTTTGGCTAGCAGCTGAAAAAAACAAGTAAACCTATAGAAATTCAGAAATCCAAAACCTGGGAGAACCTACAACACCAGCAAACTGACAAAAGGGCTTCGCAAACACAGCTGCATGCATTGACTCCTGTGGCAGTATGGTTTCAACTGCTTTGTCAACATCATGATGTCAGTTTTTGAGGGCATCAGTTGACCCAGTCCTCTATTTAGGCCACCTCCAAAGTTAATGAATGACAATAACCATCTTACTACTAGATGTCCCATACATTGGAGGTAAGTACTCCATTTCTCAGACAGATCCCAACTATCCGATTATTCTTGCTTTTATACATCATTTTCATGATATCCCCATAATATTTCCATGATATGGCCATAAAATGGTGGCTTCCCATAGTATTTTGGGAAGCATCTGCCAACTCCCAGGATCCTTGGCTCCATTCTGATCCATGGAGTCAAGGTGAGAAATGTGGGACTGGGATGGTTTTGCGATTGGTAACCATAGAAAAAAGGGATTTAAGCTGCAAATTATGGGCCTTTTTTGGTGGTGGGGTAGTATTTTCAACCTATTGAAAATTGAGCAACTTCGAACATTCTTGGGGTTCGATGGGAGATCTGGGGGTTCGAAAAGGGGTTTGCGGGAGTGCAGCAACTGGAGAACTGAAACTTGAACAGCCCGTAGTCACAGTCGAGGAAACACCGTGGCGGGGCTGATACCCACGCAACCAATAGACTCTCCCAAATCAGTTCATTCCCAAAATCAGAATCAAACTCGATACATAGCCCTCAATGATGAGGAATGGACTTCTTTCATCCAATAATTGGCTGTGCAACTTCTCAATCCTTTCTACAAACGGGAAGTGTCTTGGGATACGGCTTCAGATGATAGGCCTGGGCGATTTTCAAATTCGCCGTCGCAGTGGATTTTTTTTTTGGCCTTGAGTGGCCAGGACTTGGGGGATCTGCAGTATCCCACTATTCTTAGACAAGTGCAACAAGCCAATATCAGATTGGTGGTTGTATATATATATATATATGTATATTATATATAAAATATATAATATATATATATATAATATATTATATTATAATATATATATATATTATATTCTATAATTCCCCAATATCATCCATACGTTATATCCCCAGAATATCTCCAGCAACCTCCCCAACGACATATCCCTGCAGGTGCAGCATCCTCGCAGGACCCGAGCTGGGTGCGTTCATCGCCCTGGGTGAAGGAACTCACCCATGATGGTTTATCATACTCCAAGTACATATACGGAGGTTTCTTAAAATAGGGGTACCCCCAAATCATACATTTTAGTAGGATTTTCCCTTATAAACCATCTATGGATCCCCCATTTATGGAAACCCTCATACATGTACACTGTACACATACTATTCAACAAAAGAAACCCACATATTGTCTAGTTACATTTCTGAAATATTATATATACTTTACAATTACATATCTAAATCTAACATGTGATATATAGCATCATATATCATATATATTATATGTCTTATGAGTTACGATTCCGGGTTCCTGCACATCCACAGAATCTTCCCCATCCACAGAATCTTCCCCACAACCAGATTCGGATTCTTCAGGAGTGGGAAAGGCCAGCGAAGAAAGACTGGAATAGGCGTCCGACTTCGTTTTTTTGTTGGGACCACATCTGGGCAAAGGGTCCTGCATTGTCCAGCTTAGAGACGGCGTTTGTACGTTATCTTATGACGTTTGATGCATCCCAGAGTGGTGTGATACTTTCTTCCATGAAAGGAGCATGGCGTGCTGCTTGTGAAATTTGGCTACTGTAGATTCATGGTTCATGGGCATGATTTTGCGCCCCTGCGGATATTGAGAGCCGAAATCCAGCTTTGTTGAACTGGTGTGTTGCTAGGAAGAAGTAACGCGTAACGAGTGGCGTTCGGGGCAAATGTTGTCCCCGGGTACAAACTCCCTTATCATCCCTATGAAATGCATTCAGCTTAAGGCCTAAGCCCGAGGTTGCGAGTAAGAATTGCTGCGGTTGGAACCTGCATTGGAGAGTCTGTCTTGGACGTGCCGGTAGCGCCTGAAAGCCATCGGTTGTCGGAATGAACTTGGCCAAGGAAGACCAGCTGCAATTCATTACTTAACATTGAAACATAATGGCAGGAACACATTCAACAGGTGTCTGTAGATTTTCATCATTATGGTGTTAAACATCATTAAACATCACTTTTTGGATCTTTTTGGTGCTTTAAATTGCGCTTGAATTGTGGCCTGTCAAGTCCCCAAAAGGGTTTGTAATGTGATACACCGCATAAATGATCCCCAACATCACCCAACATCACCCAACATGACCCAACAAATGGGTGGTAACATGTAGTAACATGTGGTAACCATCAGAATCATCGGCCACGAGCCAGGCCTGTGCGGCCTGGATCTTTAGAAGCGCGCTTGGTTGTGAAGCAGGGGGCTGGCGTCTCGTGGGTGCACCCAGGGGAGTCGGCAGTTGCAGCTGAACTGGATTTTTTTTGCTGCAATGTTTGAATCTGTTTGAATATTACCAGATCAGGTTTAGTCTTAACTAAACTCAAATTTATTGAATTTGTCAGATTTGTACCCAGTCTGGTAGGGAACCTCGTGCAATTTTTCGGCTCGTTGACCAAAAAAGCGAACTTGGGACAGCCAACTTGGCAGTGACAACACGCATGGAACTTACGCAAACTGAACCCAGAATAGGTATGAAACATGAAACCGCATGGTTGAAAAATCACCATAAATAGGTGGTATAAACCATTCCCCAATGTGTGGTTTATTATTGTTTTACCCACATTAGACAATGACCACAGTCTTGAATTTTGACAGATTTCCAGAGCTTTTGAGGCTATGAGTTGGTGGCCAGGAAGGAAAATCAAAGTTTGATGGTGCCAGCGTGTCGTAATAACCCACACTCATAGTGGTCATGATATTCATGGAATAGTAGCGGGTCAAAATAGTAGCAGAAATAATAGTAGTAATGAGAATGATAGAGAGAATAGCATCAATACGATGAGTACTTATATACACTAAGAGCAAGACGATAATGAAGGTAACAAAAGTAAACTATTCCCCTTAATCTTCAATACCTCTCAGAAACCGGTGGTTTAGTATTGGATCTATTTCTTATTGGGTCCGTATGGCGGGTATTTGATATTGGGGAGATTGTTTTTTTTTTGGGGGTAATCATGGCAATGGTATGATGATGATTAACCATCTATAGTCCTCCTCGTTTTTGGAGGATGACGTCGGCCTGCCTGTGAGCCAAGGCTATTGTGGTGCACAGGGGAAGGCTATCGTGTTCAAGAGATAGAGGAACGCTTAGCCATGGAGCATATGCTGCTAGAGTTTCATGGTGGTACCTGTATGTTACCTTGAACCCGCTTTCGTTGCAGAGTAGTTTCCAGAGCAGTTCTCACTTCCACTGCCAGAAAAAAAGCATCTGGACATGGTGAATTTTCCTGGATTTTTCAGTCCCATCACATCCGAATCCCCCTGGTTGCCAGGAGTTTCCAGGTCAGCCAGAATTGCGCGTGGGTGATATCATCCGCACCATAGGCCCAAGGGCGAAACCGTTGAACGGGTCGGGAGAATGTTTTTCTTCGCATTTTTCTTGGAGAATTGCGCTTTAAAAATCAAGGGGTCCCAAAGAAGCTTTCCCAACTGACAATCTCAGGATCTTTGGCAGAGGCATTTTTGGCTTTCAAAGTGAAGAAGTGGCAAATTTGTGGTTAAAGTAGGCTTGGCTCATTTGGCTATGGGTCAAGTCGTACGCAAAAAGGGATGCTGCAAACAACTAGGAGTGGCCAGCCCATTTGTACGTTTTCGCTGCTTCAGCAGCACTGAAATTGTAAGGTGGAAATTGGAATCCCTAGCAGAATCTTGAAATGCAGTTTCGTTTAGGTCCTATAGGTGTTTCTGTCATCCCTCAGTTACTAGGTAAAGGTATGTAAAGGTTGTGACCATCATCGCTCGGGGATGAATCAAAATTGTTGGACCCCCGATGGTTTGATACTGCCAGCGCGTCTCGCTGCATTTTTGTCAGCTTTTGAAGCATGTCTTAAACATATTCTCCGTAATTTACATAGGTTCAAGCCTTAAACTAGGTACCGGCGCCAATAGCGACCCTGGGAAATTTGCGCATGGCTTCATCAGTCCTCTTTCAAAAATCCTGCGTTTTGCACCATTTCCACAAGTACCCACTCATGTCCAACAGCAGGATTCATTGGTATTTACAGGAAGGTGAGGCTTTTTTTTTACCATTGGAATTCTGCATTTCAAATGTTTTTTTCTTTTCAAATGATGTGATTCGAGGTCGCTTCCACGCCAAATTTCCTTTTTTCTCATCTTCAGCGGCATTTGTTGGCTATCTTGGCCAGGTCTTTCATCAGAGTTTCTCGGTGGTTGAACCGAAAAGCAAAAGCAAAGTATTCAGAAGTTCCAAGAACATGTTAGAAGCCGAGCATCAAGAGCATGTCAAAAGTTCCAAGAACATGTTAGAAGCGTAGCATCAAGAGCGTGTCAGAAGTTCCAAGAACATGTTAGAAGCGCAGCATCAAGAGCGTGTCAGAAGTTCCAAGAACATGTTAGAAGCCGAGCATCAAGAGCATGTCAAAAGTTCCAAGAATATGTTAGAAGCGTAGCATCAAGAGCGTGTCAGAAGTTCCTAGAACATGTTAGAAGCGTAGCATCAAGAGCGTGTCAGAAGTTCCAAGAACATGTTAGAAGCGCAGCATCAAGAGCGTGTCAGAAGTTCCAAGAACATGTTAGAAGCGTAGCATCAAGAGCGTGTCAGAAGTTCCTAGAACATGTTTGAAGCGTAGCATCAAGAGCGTGTCAGAAGTTCCAAGAACATGTTAGAAGCGTAGCATCAAGAGCGTGTCAGAAGTTCCAAGAAGTGTTAGAAACATAGCATCAAGACCGTGTCAGAAGTTCCAAATGCAAAAGAAAGTATGAAACCAAAAAAAACACGCACGCGAGAAGAACGTTATTACTACTGTGCACCCTCCAACCCGTCTAACCCCCCCAATGTGCCTCCTTGTACATGTGTGGGCTGCTAGTGAACGTTATCACAATCAAGTGGGAAATATAAAATTTGCGTTTTCCTATGGGGTCGCTAACAGCGCCGCTAGCTTAAACTACAACCCTTCACAAACCGTAAAAAACACAAAAAAAACAGGTTAACCCAACCCCAAAAACAAACAAGTAGATCCTACAACAACCCGAAACTAACCCCAAAGTACCTAAACCCTGACACTTTGGGCGTTCGCCCCGAAGGTGGTTGGACACTGACAGATGCTGGCAGTGTAGAAGAAGCAGCACCTCAGTGGCACTGGTTCTCCAAGCAGTTTTGTGCTACCTTCAACCACCCCATCATTAGATTGACAGAAAAGAGTCGATGTTTTTCCCCATCGAGGGGTCAACCTCAACGCTGGGACTTTAGGCCAGGGTCCCCCCATTAGAGGATATTAGAGGTTGGTCCACAGCTGTGTAGCTTGAAGTTGAGGGATCATGGCCATGGAAAGCGATGATCAACCGAGGAGCGCCGCTTCGCCGCGTCGTTCCGAGACAGTGCTCTCTTGGAGGCTGCGAATGGTGAATGGCTGGAAGATTTCGCTGCGATGTAATGTGTTTTTTTAGTATTGAGGGAGGTTTCTATCTTGGCAACTATAAGCAACAATACCATACTGTATGGGGCAAGGGTGACAAAGTATGATACAAATTGAACTGAGGGTTTGAAAATCCAGTTCCAAGTATTTTGATGCGAAAGGTGGGTGAAATCAACATCATTCGCCTGGGAGACAAGTTTGTGCTCAAACAGTTCTGAATCATTTGGAGATATTGGGAGTGAAACTGAATTCATCAGAAGCGGCTACAGCAAATTACGAGCCTTCTGAAACATTTAATATGTATGATTTTTCTATGTACAGATATGTACAGTATACATTTCAATGCAAAAAACGCGCTGAGAATCGGAAGATGAAAAATTCAGAGACCGGTTCCGATCGAACGACCGGGGAACGAACCAATGGCCCAGATCGAACGACCGTGCTTCACGGTGACTTTGAAGGCTCCGGTACTGGCTTTATGCCATGGTTGAGTGGTGAGTTGGTGAGTCAATTGAGGGCCACATATTTCAGCCTTCGGCTTGGAAGAAATTCATAAATTATACATATTATACCATCCAAAAGCCAGAGTTAGAGACCTGCTGCCCGGATTTCTATGAATGTTGGCAGAGCGACACCTGAACTTGGATAGTTCACACATGTTCACCCCTTGCCATTTTGGTTAGTCATACCGGAAGAGAGTTCTAAGGTGAAGGCTCATGGGGCGGGCTTGTCCTTGGTCCGGGCGCCTCAGAGATTTTTGTCTCTGGATCTGGGATGATCTGGGGATGGGTGAATCTTCCCAACTGCAGAGGTTTGTTGATTTGCAGATCTGGATCTGGTTGTTATACACTGTGAATACTAAAAAAAGATCTTCAGAGTGCAGCAAGATTTTATAGTCGTAGTATTCATTGATCCAATATGATCCATTTCACAAAAAAAGGTCAGAGGGCTATGGATCCATATGGATCCAGAGCTATCGAAAAATCGGTAGCCGTAAACAAACCTCAACCTTGAGATAAACATATAAGTTTTTTTAGATCAAACCATATCATGGGAATATCAGTTATTACATTAAGAGATATTAAGACCACCGTGCCTTAACCATAACCCCCAACAATCCCAAGAATTTTGCTTCCTGCCGACGGGAGTGCGGTTTGAATCGATGTTTTTGACGGCTGCTTCTGCTTCCAATGTTTGGCCCAGAGGTGTGGCACCCACCAGAAGGCTACCTCGTTGAGGCGAGAAATTCACGACTTTAGCTGATCCGACAAGAAACCTTGTTTCATCTAAAGCCGCAGTCTGCAGTTCTTTTTTTTTACTTTTTTTTCCTTCGAAATAGACATAAGAACTGACACTTTGAGTTTACCACATCCGTATCTTTCCCATTGTGGGGAGATGAATCTTTCATTTGTTGGTTCCCTTAGAAAGCTGACCAACGAAACACGGAGGTGTCAACCCTGTGGAAAAATCATGAAAAAGAGCTTCCAGTTTGGCAAGTTTATCATGTCATCCCCCCGATGTGGATCCCCATGTTTCATACCTGCCTTCCATGGAGGGATTCGCCATGGGAAAAGTCGCTCAGGGAGTGGATCCACATCCAGGACAACCAGGCTTAAGGCGTGGGGTTGAAGCCACAGCCAATGTCCAGCAACGGGGCGAATGGCATGCTGAGGCAAAAGAGCCCGAAATTGTCAACAGCTGTGAAAAACGGTCCTGTAGGTTGTCAGAAATGTCACACATGTCACAAATCATGGTTTGTTGCAGGGCTGGAGATGTGTCGGGAACCCTAGTTGGTCGAATGATCGAGCGTTTAATGCTTCTAGGGATGTCTTGTGCAACATGCATTTGGGGAATCTTCACCTCACACCTCAGACAGGAGCCATTGTTTTGCACTGGGAGATGGTACTCTAGCAAACATCCAAGGATACAGTGGACGGCGATGCCGATCTTCATTTTTCCATCCGTTTTTGTTGCTGTTTTTGTCGATTGATTCGGTATCAGGGTATCAATCGGAGTCATACCGGAGGTCTCCAAGCCATGGGAAGATGAGATCCTTATCATCATCGTTGATATCATAAGATCCAGCACAACTTCATTACATTCATCATTACATCCATCATCAGTAAACTTTCGCCACCTGGCATAGCTGGCATAGCTCATCCTGGTGGCTGCTTGGAGGCTGCGGCGGGTTGGCCCTGCAGTGTTGGGTGGTCATGTCAGCCAAGCAGCGGCAGATGCCGCCTTGGCGGGGGCCCTGCAGGCGCTGGTCATGTGGGAAATGTGTTTGGTGTCATAGGCTACGAAACGTATTGAATGTGTTCCTTGATATTATTGGGATATTTCGGAACATATATATATATATAGATAACTATGTATATATATATAATTATATATATATAGATACATACATATACCGCATGCCTGGTAATGATAATTGTATTCAAAAATACCTACCCAACTTGACCGGCTGTTTGAGTTGGTCCACAAAAAAAGGGGTTTTCGCAGCCAGCGGATGTATCTAATTTGAATGGGGAATATGATGATCAACCAGTGGATGGACTGGGGTAGCCTATTTTCAAAAGAAACCCATAGGGTGATATAGGGTGTAGGGGCTCCCTCAGGAAAACACATGAACAATTACCATCTGGTTATGACTAACAGTTTGCCATGGAAAAAAAAACATGCATTTTTAATAGGTAAACCATCTATAAATGGGCCATTTTCTATGGCTATGTTTATGAGTTAAAAACATCAAACTAGCGTAAACAGAAGGGATCTACTAGTCTATCTTTTTTGGAACCCATGTATAGCCGAACCAAAACAAGCAAAATGGTGGGTAGACGGTAGGTAAATGCATAGAAGGCAAACAACCAACCAACACATGAGAGTTTGGAGGTACACCCTTTATGTTTGGTTCCCCAACATTTTGATCAGCAATGCTTATGGGGATGTGGTTCGAATGGGACAGGACTTGCAATCGCGGGCATGGAACCGGATGTGATGGAACTATATCTCTGAAGGAGGGAAATATTGTATACATAAGAAACAAGGGAGCAGCTATACAAGGGTGATATCACCATGAATATTTGGATATGTGATATGCAAAAATAAAGAGGTTTTTTCAGCAACGACAGGAATATCAGCAGCAACAAGTTTGGTTGGTTTTTGTGCCAGTCCAACCGGAATCTGCTTGGTTGGTGAGGTTTCAATCTTGTTAAGATGCCTAGGAGTAACTGAGTTTGAGCATCCCATCCTCTATGGATGGTGACACCTTGTGAGGACGGAGCCTTAGCCAGGATTTATAGGCGTGGGACCCTGGGACTCCGACCTGCTTGGATATCCCGAGTGGTTCATGAAAAAATGAGGGGCTTCGACAGGCTTCGACCCCACGGGCTCCGACCTGGCTGGACTGCCTTTCTCCTTAGGATGGAGGGTCAGTTTGGGATGGTGTATACTGTGACCCATTGAGTCACCGCTGCATTGCTACAAAGAGAAAAGACAATCCACGAGACGACAGACTTCCTCGACATATTACGAAAGAGTTCCCCCTGCGTACCTCTGGTCCCGCTTCACAAATCATTTATGACTCACAGTGAATCATCTCCTGTGGGACGTTGCCCCAAGGAATTTACCACACCCAAACCACACAAAAATTGCAATGTGACGCAATTTATCACTGGAAATTGGATCAATCTCCTTTCCCATTCCTAACAGCTTCCCAATAAAATCCGAGTCAGCCCGACAGATTTGCTGTGGCCTATGATGTCGCTGCTCATGTGCCATGAGCGCCATTGCAACAGCTGCGTTCTCTGATGCTCGCAGCATATTCTGCCTTGTTGCAGCGACGGCCCTTGATCATCAAAGGATGCAGTGCAGCTTGGCTTGGGATAGGAACGCATTTGGGTATACTACCAAATTACCATTTTAAGGGGGAAACATGATAGCCTGTGAACTTGGGGTACCCTAGTTTTGGACAAACCCGTTTGTGAAATGCCGCTGTCGAAGATTCTGCCCAAACTTTGGGTTCCAGAGTTGAATGAAGATCAGCAGTACATACATGCTGGGAATATGTGGGGCAAAGTTGATGCTGTGTGTTGTGCACGTAGGTTAGATACACACACAGTAAAAGACATATGGGATAGTACTGGATACATAGGGAAGTTAACAATTGGATCAACAGGTAGATATAAGTACATACATACTATCCAGCATCTAGTGTATCTATCAAATACTGATCCACAATCTACAGAAAAACTGTATCCATAATCTACACATAAACTTAATCCATATATTATCCATATCCGGCATGAAGGCTGGCTTGCTCTTCAGCCTGGGAGATTTCATGGCGCAGAGATTGGAGGTGCCTGGGACCAGGGATCGAAGCAATGAAACAGAGGGGTCAAAAGCCAACCAGTTCAGGGATTCTAGGTGATTCTAGGGGATATCATTGGAATATAGTTGTAATCCTGGGGGCAAGTGGATGATACAATGGCATTCTCATGGTCGAATGCGAGAGAACCAACCAAACCTGCCAGCAGGGACCATTTTGCTGTCGTAAGCCCAAGTATTTTCAAAAAAAAAGATTTACCAGAAACCCAACTAGTCATAGGTATGAACTTTTGGCGGATTTACCAAGTTAGTTTCTCTGTCCCTCCCTGTTTTCATCGCCAGACGGCTGAAGCAATGGATTTGCAGCGGCTGATGGCGTTCGGAAGTTATGGAGACGCTGGGATGCAGCTAGCCTGCGTTGAATCTGTCGCTATTGGGGTCACCTGCATGTTGCTACGGTTCCACATATGTCGCCCAAGTGGAAAAAACAAGGTCTTGGAAGTTGGGATCCCAAAGTAAGATCCGCATCGCGGCGGTTCGCGCGGCGACGCGCGGCGACGCGCGTTCTGAGGCATCTTGGTATGCGATCAGCCAGCATTACTGGTTTGCCTGGATGGAGCCTTGGGACTCCGGTCAGTGGCCATAGATGATAGGGGCCATAGGGATGATGATCACCAGATGGATGGGGTGTTGGTGCTGGGACTGCAGCTGGCTTAGCAACCTTGGCTTGGTCTATTTTAAGCCATGGAGCCAATCATATTTTGAGGGGTAACTCGGATTTAAGATATGAATTTGGGTTTTAGAACTTTTTAGAGGGAGTGGCTCGAATTCAAAACCATAGATCCTGTCAAGTCAAATGGTGGAGGGTCCACTTATTCGAAGGAGCAAGCGCGTTCTTACATGCAAACAGCTGGAAATAAGATCAAGATGATCAAGGAAAAACACCTTTCAGAGGGAAACAAGAACCTCCATCATATAAATCTTCCACAGCCTGTTGGATCGCAATAATACTGAGTTCCGGTAGTGCCAACAGAGGGAACGTAGCAATGCATGAATGAATGTGGGTGTGTATGTGTCTGAAAATAGGGTATACTCCACTACCGGTTAATGGATGTTAATGGCCATTTTGACGGTCCAAGACGACAAGCCTTTGGTTCACTGGGTTGGTTTAAGGGAAAATTTACAGGAAAACCCCATATTTAATGGTAAAAACCATGGTTTCCTGTAGATTTTCCCTTAAACCAATCCAATGATTGGTCATCAAACATGGCACGATGGTGCCATTAAAACCTCAGGAGCGCCATGTCGCCTGTGGCTGGTCTCCCTCTTCGGCCGCTGTTGCGCGGGTTGCGGCGCATTCGGCGGTGTTTGCGCCTTTCAGTGCCTTGGGAGGGTAGGGGGGGGATTTAGAGCCATCATTTCATGTTATTTTTCGGTCACCAACTACTAATATGACTGTGTATCTCTATATATATATATAATATAATATGTTATCGTCATGGGATGTGAAGATTTGGGATGTATGATGGCTCATTCAACATCATTGAACCTTCAAAATTCCACCCTGGGATGGAAATGGATTTGGAACCCATCTGGACCCCAAAGTTGGATGGTTCTTTTCTCAGATGGACCTCGAACAAATCAGGTGCAAAAAGAATGCACAAAGAGTAAACCTACTGCGAAAAGTTGCGGTATGAAGGTCTGGTTGAGAAAGGGTTGCTTACATTCAACAGCCAAAAGCCACCATAGCCACAAAGAGGGATGAGGATCTCATCAGTTGAAGTAGGCATGTCACCGGCATCCGTGCCCCCCCCGAAATGAACAGAGTCACTACGCAACCAGGGTTTCTGAGCGGATGTAAAAATTGTTCGGGGCTCTATACCTTCAGTAAAGAAATTGAAGCCCTGGGTCTGACAAGATTCATTTTTGTTCATACCTCACAGGGATGGTAGACAGCTTCGACCAACTGTTTCTTTAGCGGGGCAAATCACATAGGAAACCACCAGTTGGCATGAGGACCAGTTGCCATGGGAGCATGGGAACGCCCAGACGCCCAGGCATCGTTTCGTTGTTTGGTTGGATGACAATCACCACTGGCCGATCCTGGCAAGAGCTGAAAGACATTTGCCATCCAGAGGCATCATCTGCATCTGACATGGGGAAAAGGGTACCCCAAAATGGCAAGTTTCATGGCTAAGTTTCATGGGGAAAATGATGGTCAGCCCCTAAAAAGCCCTTGGATTTTGCGTCCTTGCGGCTTGCTGCGGCCATGGCCTGGAGGCCATTTTCAGCACATGGGCAGCCGGAACCATTTTCTGGATTCCCACCATGCTGGGCGTCTATCGCCTCTCGATCAGTGACAAAAATTTCCGGGCGCATGTCACTTATGTCACTGAAATTGGAGGAAAAAGAGGAACGGTATCCCCAACTTTAAAGCTTCTTATAGAGGATTTAGCGAACTGTTTGAAAGCCCCATCTGGGCCAGAAAAACCTGGAGCCGCTTTGCCAAGCAGATTGGGTAAAGGCTCACAGTGATTGGCACATGTACTATTTTCTATTTGATTGCACATAGTGACATAGTAAAACCCTTATCACCTTCCTCAGAAAATAGTAATCACTAATCACCCATATCAATGATCATAGTTATTTTTCGGTTTCCACAGAGTAATCACCTTTCCATGATCAAACATAACATCGTTGGATGTGACTCCTCCGAGGATTTGTGCCCCTTCAGGGACGCGTGGCCACTTGGTCAGAAAACTCGAGATGGACAAGTTTTGCACTGTATGAATCTGTATGATATATATATATATATATATACATATTTTTATATACATATATTATACATATATGATATATCTTTGTAATGACACCCGTGTATCTTCAACTAATTGTGTGTATACATTAAACATGAAGTACAAGTATACATACATATGTGCAGATGTGTATCCGCAGTGGAATTTCAAGACCATAAACGGAGAACCAGTAGCGGAAATTCCAACGCTCAGGTTGTGACATCTGGAGCCAATGTGCTTTGGAGTTGCTACCTCTCTTGGAAATCTGCGGCTCAACGCGCTGAACCACCGCGGAAAAGATGTTGAAATGAGCAGTGCGTGGTTGCTTTTCAGACCAGTCAGCCAATAAGTAGCCAATTGAGGTCTGTCAAAACTTGTGGAAACCTAAACAACATTAAACTTAACTTGAATTTCTGGCTGAAAATCTGGCTGAAAAGGATCCTACAATCCTACAATATATGATTGTTGCAACCAAGTTCCCTTTCTCCATCTTTCTCCGAAGCGATCCGAACCGAAAAGGCCCTGCTGTGATGCCCAATTGGGTGACCTGGTGGCAAGCCCCGGTCTGTCAGGAGCTCCCAGGGCGCGACTTGGAGGGAGCTGATATACACTATATATTTATGTACGCAGTACATATATATATATAACTAGTTATATTATGTAACTATAATATATATAAATAATTATATATATATATATTTACACAGAATATAAATATATACATATAATTATATTCTGTGTATATATAGATATGTCTACAGCAGGCATGGTGGGCAGGTCCCAGGAATCTCCTGAATCTACGAGGATCCAGATCATTTACCGTACGAGTAGAGGAGACATTTCGTTGATGTATCTGTCCTGTAGCAACTGCGAGAGAAACATAGGGCAATTCCTGGGATGATTGGAATACCCAGCCCAAATTAGCTAGTGCCTCCAAAAGAGGATGCTGTATACTTCTAGACACCCAATAAAACAGACAGAAACACACAGCAAATCCAAGTTCATTCCTTTGGGTTCCAAACAAAGTCCTGCACCGTTTACACAAAGGTCTGGTACTGTTCCCATGCTTCAGGTGGCTTTGGGTGATCAAAATTGTCAACTCGAAATGGCTATGGGTCAAAACCCTTTCCCCCTAGTGAACATCAAAATAGCTGGTAAATGCATGTTCATCCCCCTAAAAATGGTATTAATAGGTATTGATCCATACCCGAATGGATGGTTCAATCGTGTTCAATCGAAACAATGACCAGCCATTTGTGGACCCACTGCATACCCGACCTGTCCCATACCCATACCTGCCGAGGATTTTGCCTTCGGTGGCTGCCGGAGGCCTAGGAACCTCGCGCCTGAGTCAAGGGCGATTGGGGATATATAATCATAGCCTTATATATCCAAGATTCTTGGGTATATTACCCAAGAATATCCAATATGGATTGGGATAAAACCGATATTTCGAAACAATTTTGATGATAGGGCTTGGCTTTAGATGTTTTTTTCTTCCGTAATGATCTGCAAGGCAGCAATATTTTTGCAACAAATTGCCTAGAGTCGAAGTTGGGGCATGGCTGCCATGGTTTCCCAAAAATTGTGGCGCTCCAACGAAGCCCCCGTATGATATTCTTGGTCGCAAACATATCCCCATGACATCGATATTGTTTACATTCACATCATATCCCCATCATATCCCCAATATACATATGGGTATGGATCAATACCTATAAATACCATTTTTAGGGGAATGAACATCCATTTACCAGCTATTTTGATGTTCACCAGGGGGAAAGGGTTTTGACCCATCCCCAATATACATCTTCAGAATATCTTCAGATTGAGGTGGGCACTTGGTCCTGGGGCAACGAGTCCTTCGGTGCGGCCCCCCATTCGGAAGAACCATCTGTTGATCATCGTTGTTCCAGTTGAAAGTACCTTTGGGGGGTTATAACCCTATGTTCAGGCACCATCCAATTCATATATGGTTGATTCTACATGTATATATATATATATGAATAAATAAATAATATAGACATACATACATGTATATACACCATCACATGCCAATTTTTGATGGTTGGTATATTACCATGAATGTACTTTGAGACTTAGATCCATCCTACTACCTCCAACGGTGCCTGAAAAGTTGGCCCCAGCCCCGCTTTCAGGTCATGGATTGCGGGCTGGTAGCCATGAAGCCAAGGACGCTGTTTGGGTCCCCCAAACAGCTCCCAACTGCAGTGGATCTGGATTTTACCATGAAAACTTGGGATCGAACCAGTATGAAACCCACAACTATAGTAACTATGGGCATCTGATCATCAAAATGAAAACATGAACAGTTCGGATTGAATCATCGAAAATTTGGATTGAACCCACGAACATGTGGAATTTCCCCATGAACACTTGAGGTTTCCAAGGCATTGAGGGATCACCTATGGAACCCTCGGTTCACGGGGAGAGCGTCCACTGGATCCCAGGAGGCGGTAGCTGCAGCCTTCAACGCGGCCGTGCGCCTGGGAAGCCCGGTGAAGCTGAGAGATCTCCATTTCTTTGGGCTTAATCACTTAATCAATCATTAATCGTATGATAACTATCTCGACCAAAGCCAACTCAGTTGTTTCCAGGTTTTCCCAGGTTTTCCCAGGTTTTCCCGCTGTATCTTCTCTGGGTCCTCCGGGCATTGGTCCACTCTGGCCGTGGACCAAGGCCGTGGATGCTACTTCTTTGACTCCGCGCCCACCTACGGCCGGGGCTTCGCCGAGGAGAGTGGCTGGGGCTGAGCAAGTTTTTAGGGCTGGCGGCGCCATAAAGGATGCCCAAAAAGTGTAAAAAAAAAGTGGCTAGAATGAGCCAGAAATCCAGAACTAGTGGGGGTTTGGCTGATATATCAAATCTAAATGAGCAACAGTTGGTTGAAAAGACTGAAGAGATTTGATATATCAGCCAAAAAATCTGGGAACGTGGCTGGTTGAAACGCAAGCAGACATGGCTCGCCATTTTGGACAGATGGGGCCGGCAGATTTAGATCATTCCGTTTGAAGATCGTGAAATGGGACCCAATTTTGACCCCATCGAAACAACTGACAGTGGCATTGTTGATGAACCCAAAAAAGGGGGGATGGTCATCCGAAGGTTCTTGAAAAGGGATTTTGAGGAAGCACGGGAAAACCGCATCCTTTTAGCAGAGTCATATGCTCAGTTGCTCATGGAAGCACAGCTTTCCCAGCTGAGGTTTAGGGCACCTCTGCCGCAGCACCGGGCAGTATGCAGTGGTGGCGACGTGCGGAGCCTTAGCTGGGTGCTAGCTGGGCGCCATGGGCGCCATGGGCGCCCTGGTGGCACGGCCAATGGTTGGGAGGCCCTTGAGATGGGTTATGAGCTGAAATTGATGGGGTTCTCTCTCTTTTCTCTTTTCTCTTTTCTCTTTTCTCTCTCTCTCTCTCTCTCCTCTCTCTCTCTCTCTCTCTCTCTCTTCTCTCTCTCTATATACATGTATATAATACCTGGATAAATATATGTATATATATATATGGATATTAAAACTTGATGCGGGGTCCTAACCGCATGAACTTCCTAGTTCCACCAGTTGGGCGCCTTTTCTTGCCTCGCCTGAGATGCACAGGATCCCTGCGGAAACGTACATGTTTCCCTTGAACATGTGAAGGTTGGCCAAGTGCTCATGTGACAGCTGAATCAAGACCGGTTATATTCTCTCAAATTTTTGAGTTCTTCTTTCCCAGTCTTCTAAATTCTCTTGCCAATCCGAAGGCAAGCAAGGAAAATGACAAGCAGCTGACGTTTTGAATCTTGAAAATTTTCAGCACATACCAACGATCATGGCTTGAGGACACGCTTCTGAGTGGTGCCTGGGATGAACAAATGATTGATCAAACGATCATCAGCTTTGACATGCATGAGATACGAGCACAAATCCTTCAAATTTCCAGTGGCAACGGCACGGCACCCATTTGACATAGGAAACCTTGCGCTCTTCCTGGGAGAAGGCAAGCTCACTGTAGCTCAGATCATCTTTGGCAAACATTCCAAAGCAAATCATGGTGCGCCCCCACGTCTCCAGATCAGACACTCCAGTTGGAAACGGTGGCAAATCGCCAACCATGGACGCTGACGCATGCTCCATGGGGAAGGGCACCTCTGCATTCACTGAGCCGGCATAGGCCGACTGAGCCACTCGCATACCGCTGGCCATGTTCACGCGCGATTCTGGCTGAGCTCCCTCACCATCCTCACGACGTCTGGAGGCATCATTCATTGCTCCCATGAACATCAATCCAGTATCATCCCAGGATTCGGTCTCATCATCCCAAATGCTGTGTGACGCTCCGGTCACAGGATCAAACACATTTCCGGTCGCAGAGTCAAAGATAGGCACCATCGCATGAGATGGTAGGCCACGACCGGCAGGTCCAGCAGCGGTCTTGGCCTTGGCCAAGAGACGATGGAGCTGCTTGCTCCCAGCTGCGGTCAGGCCTGGAGCACTGGAGCAGCCATGATGAAACAACGATGCAAAAAGGCAGGGATGCAAAATCAACTCTACAATGCAAGAAAACTTGCAGGATGTGCTGGCGAGATATGAACTACGTGCTTGCGAGGATTGTACAAATACGCAATGGCAAAATTGACATCTCAACTGTCTCTTCAGGCTGAGAGGTGAAAACGAATTGAATCACTGTGACAAAACTGCAGCACTGTGAGTTCTTCGTGAAAATGGGTCTTTGGCATCAAAGTTCAAATGAAGCAGGACAATCAGGAATAAGGCTTTATAGATACTCGTGCCTATTATCCCTCCTTAGTCTGAAACTATTCCCCTTCACTATGCTTATGCTTATCCCCCATTTAAGTCCCCTGGCTCAAGTGCTTCATTTGATTCCCCCACATAGGGCATTCTGGCGTTTTTGGGCTCTAAATGCTGTGCCAACACATGCTCTTCTGGTGAGATTTGGTAGATTCCTGCTCGCACACATGACCTAAGCAGATATATAGGGCCTGCCTTATCTTTTGTAAGTCCATCTGCTATCATGCGATTGGTTGGAAGCCACCTCACCTGTGCACCAGTGAGTTTGATGGATTCACGGATGATTACGATGTCGATACTTGTTCTTCTATCATCTACGGCAGTGGGTGATGAAGGGGACACTAGGTGGTCGTAAAGTGACTTGCAGTCAGTTGCAAAAATGGGAGGCCTTTTGGCAAGCAGTGACCTACACTCACGGACATTAAAGCGTCCTTCTAGGGCTTCGGTCAGTAGCAAACTGAGCCACTCAACAGTTCCTGTGGCAGTAGACATAGCTTGGCTTTCCCCTCCCAATGTTGAGCTAACTGCACGAAGCATCTTGTAACTTTTCCACACCACAGGAGTCCAGTTTGAGATTTCTCCCTGATGGAGTTTCTTTTCAGCAAAGCCTACGATGTACCCAGCCTGAGTATGTGTGCCAACGTTCGCAAATGCCACATCCGAGTGACAACAAATCATGAGATCTTGCGCAGGAATAGATGAAAACTTGATCTTAAGATCCTTGTGTTGTTTGGCTCTATGGATTGCCTGATTGGCTTCACGGAGATTATGAAGCTTCGGCTGTGGAAACGATTGTTGACACATACTGGTCTGCACTGCTAAGTCAGGGCGACTCTGCGACGCAATCCAGTTGAGAGAACCATTAATGGCTCGCAAAACTCGAATTTGGCCTGGATTCAAAAGCTGATCAGTCTTGGCATGCTTGGGAATGGACGCAGGTATGAGTTTCTCAGCAAAAAGCTGTTTTGACATTTGGATAGAGCTGTCTTTTGGGTCTTGGGTGTAAAACGAACCACAAAACTCTCCACTTCCAATTCTCCACTTTCGATAGGGAAACCTTTGTTTCAACAATTCAACTGATTTATTGAACTTCTCTCCCTGACCCCCTATCGCTGTGTCATCCACATGCACGCCCATCACTCCCACAAGCTTGTTGGATCCGCCGTCACGTAAAAAGTACAAACATGGATCGAGCTTGGAGCGTTCCCAGCCAAAACCACAAGCCTCTTCGTCAAAGGTGCGATACCACGCCAAAGGCGCATTGTTCTGTCCATAAAAATTTCCAGTTGCTTCCAACACTGCATCTTGTGGCACTCCTGGAATGCCACCTTTTCGCTGCGATGCAAACAATGGACGGAACTTGGCGGGAAGAGGTCCCGCTTCCAAAAAGGCCCCTCTCATATCCCCAAGTTGCAGGACCCATTTGTTTGAGGAGATCAGTTGCATTACAGGCATACGCCCCAGTTGACTAAGGGTAGGAGATTGAAGCAGGCCCGTCTCCACCTTTTTGCCCAGATCGCGATCAAGATGGCCTTGTAAGCACCAACGGCTCTTCACGCGAAAAGTCTGAGGATCATCCTCTACCACTGGTTGATTTTCTTCCAGAGCTTTCTTGACAATGACAAACCGACTACTGATAAAACGGTCAGGGAAATGATTCTTGAGAGCTGCGGCATGCTTACCATAGTGGATACGAACAGCACCTTTGTCAACGATGGTTTGCCACTCAATCTGTTTGTATTCGTCAACCAATTGTTGAACCTCGTGAGGATTTGTTGCATGGCGGCATTTCTTTTGTATTGTGTCTTTGCATGTAATGTGCCACAAGGGTCTCAATAGACGTGGAATCATCAGTCATCATTTCACTGAGATGACTGACATCTTGAACAGAAAGGACCTCTGAAGCTGATCCTGTCCTAGGCCTATGACCTGCTGGTTCATCACTGGAGTCTGGATTTTCTAATCTTCTTTTGGGATGCATGGACTGGTCAATTGATTGAGTGGCTTCTTCCAGCAGCTGTGGAACCACTTCACGCATCATTTCAGCGAAATCATCAGCATGCATCGCGGGTGGTCTGTACAACGCTGGTGGTCCATCCTTTTGACGAACTCTTCGCAGCGGTCCATAAGTCGAACTCGATGCAGACTCAGCTTTTGGAGTGGAAACTTGATTTTTTTCAGGTGGCTTGTCGGAAGGAGTGACATTGTCATCAAAAATTCCGATAGGAGAGTCTGTCGTCTGACTTGGTTCTGCGGGCGACTTGTCATTTGAGCTATCGGCACGGCCAACTTCAGGGCTCTCCGTGCCTCCAGGAACAGCCTCTTCGAGGGAAGGCATTGCATCATCTGGTTCAGACTGTGGGATAATGTCCAGGAACAAGATCTATAAACTGTTGACTGCGAAAGGTTCCTCCTTCGATCATGTCCTCAACACCCAGCAATTCAGAGTTGGGAGTGGTAACTACCGCTTTTTCTTCAGAGGTAGCAGGACGAAGCTGCTCTGGTGCTGCTCTAAAGATTAGTTTTCTGTGCGCAATAACATAATTCTTTCCCACATTACCAATGACAACTGCAGTTCCATACCACTTCCCACCTAGGATGACATGAACCTGTTGATATTTTTGACATCGCCAGTAAGCTACAAGATCCCCAGGCTGGAATTGTTGGTTGAGTCTGGGTCTAGCCGAAAAGGCACGACGAAGAGCTTTGTCATCTTGAGTTTCTACAACTGCTTTGCGGGCTGCAGTACGTACTGCTTGGGTGCGAGCAATTGCATCATCGCTCAGACTGGCGGTGGCTGGCACAACATGCAGTGGTTCACTCAGCACATCTGAAGGGATATCAGGATTCTTTCCAAACACATGCTGGTGTGGAGTATATCCATATGACTGAATCATGGAGTTTTTGACATGGGCGTGCAAACCACATTCCTCCCATTCAGTTTTGTTGCTGGGCATGAACTCA